GATAAGAAAGTGATAAGTAGCAGATAGAGTGAAAACGTGTGGAAATGGGTGAAAAAATCAAGGCCGAGGGTTCAAGATAGTCCAAACCAAAACCTGTGTTTGAAACAATAGTGGATGTATCACGAGGCAGGAAGATCGTAGTACAGATTTAGTATGTATGTCAGTACATGTGTGGAGGCAAAATAGAACATAAAGCTGCTTATTGTGTAAATTTTAACGTATGTATTACACTAACTCCGCCTGGAGTCCCTCCGGGGGCTACTGCCGGTCCCAAGCCCGGATAAAGGAGGAGGGTTGGGCATGGGGTTAGCGTCCCCATCCCGTAGAAAACTAACTCGCTAAAAAAACGCTAACCAGAAAAAATTATTCAAACCTTTTAAACTCTGCCCTGGGAGTCAGAAGGTCTTCATTTAGAAGAATTATGACGCCTCATGATGAAAGCCGAATTCCTTCGGAAGTTACGAGGCCGATGCCCCTTCTGACAACCAGAGCGACCATTTATTTAGGTACATGGAATGTTCGTACAATGTGGGACACCGGGAGAGCCTTCCAAATTGCTGCAGAAATGAGAAGATACAACCTAGAGGTACTTGGGATCAGTGAAACACATTGGACACAAGTTGGACAACAACGACTAACTACAGGAGAGCTCCTGTTATACTCCGGCCATGAAGATGAAAATGCACCACATACACAAGGAGTTGCATTGATGCTGTCCAAACAAGCGCAAAATGCGCTTATAGGATGGGAATCTCATGGACCAAGGATCATCAAAGCCTCGTTCAAAACAAAGAAAGAGGGCATTTCAATGAACATCATCCAATGCTATGCGCCTACCAACGACTACAATGAAGACGCTAAAGATCAATTCTACAATAGGCTGCAGTCAATCGTCGAGAAGTGCCCAACAAAGGACCTGACTATTCTGATGGGAGATTTCAACGCCAAGGTTGGAACGGACAACACTGGATATGAAGACATCATGGGACGACACGGACTGGGAGAAAGAAACGAAAATGGTGAGAGATTTGCAAATCTATGTGCCTTCAATAAGCTGGTCATAGGCGGCACCATATTCCCACATAAACGCATACACAAAACCACATGGACTTCACCGGATCACTACACAAAACCAAATCGACCATATTTGCATCAACAAAACGTTCAGGAGGACTATAGAGGACGTGAGAACCAAGAGAGGAGCTGATATAGCATCAGATCATCACTTGCTGGTCGCCAAGATGAAATTGAAACTCAAGAAGCACTGGACAACGGGGCGGACAATATCACAAAAGTTCAATACGGCCTTTCTTCAGGATACTAACAAACTCAACAAATTCAAGATAGTCCTCAGCAACAAGTTCCAGGCCTTTCATGATCTACTCAATGGAGAAGGAACTACTGTGGAGAGCAACTGGAAGGGGATCAAAGAGGCAATCACTTCAACATGTCATGAGGTCCTGGGTCACAAGAAGCACCATCACAAGGAATGGATCACTGTTGATACACTGGATAAGATTCAAGAAAGAGGAACAAGAAGGCAGCAATCAATACCAGTCGAACAAGAGCAGAAAAAGCCAAGGCACAAGCTGAATACACAGAAGTAAACAAACAAGTGAAGAGGAGCATCAGAACCGACAAACGTAAATATGTGGAAGATTTAGCAACGACGGCGGAAAAGGCTGCAAGAGAAGGAAACATGAGACAATTGTATGACACGACAAAGAAACTCTCTGGAAATCGCCGCAAACCAGAACGACCAGTGAAAAGCAAGGAAGGCGAGGTAATCACCAACATTGAAGAGCAACAAAACAGGTGGGTAGAACACTTCAAAGAACTCTTGAATCGACCAGCTCCACTGAACCCACCCAACATCGAAGCAGCACCCACGGACCTCCCAATCAATGTTGGCCCACCAACAATTGAAGAAATCAGCATGGCCATCAGACAAATCAAGAGTGGCAAAGCAGCAGGACCGGACAACATCCAGCAGAGGCACTAAAAGCAGACGTAGCGGCAACTGCAAGGATACTCCACATTCTCTTCAATAAGATTTGGGATGAGGAACAAGTACCAAAGACTGGAAAGAAGGACTTCTGATCAAAATACCGAAGAAAGGCGATCTCAGCAACTGTGATAACTACAGGGGCATCACTCTTCTCTCAATACCGGGAAAAGTCTTCAACAGGGTATTGTTAAACAGGATGAAGGACTGCGTAGACGCCCAACTTCGTGACCAACAGGCAGGATTCCGTAAGGATAGATCGTGTACAGACCAAATCGCAACTCTACGGATCATTGTGGAACAATCAATTGAATGGAATTCATCACTCTACATCAACTTCATTGACTACGAAAAGGCATTTGATAGCGTGGACAGAACAACACTATGGAAACTTCTTCGACACTACGGCGTGCCTCAGAAGATAGTCAATATCATACAGAATTTCTATGATGGATTAAACTGCAAAATTGTGCATGGAGGACAGTTGACAAAGTCGTTCGAGGTAAAGACCGGTGTCAGGCAAGGTTGCTTACTCTCACCCTTTCTCTTTCTCCTGGTGATCGACTGGATCATGAAGACGTCAACGTCTGAAGGGAAGCACGGGATACAATGGACATCTAGGATGCAGTTGGACGATCTAGACTTCGCAGATGATCTGGCCCTTCTATCCCAAACGCAACAACAGATGCAGGAGAAGACGACCAGTGTGGCAGCAGCCTCAGCAGCAGTAGGTCTCAATATACACAAAGGGAAAAGCAGGATTCTCCGATACAACACAGAATGCACCAATCCAATCACAATTGACGGAGAAGATTTGGAAGATGTAAAAACCTTTACATATTTGGGCAGCATCATTGATGAACAGGGTGGATCTGATGCAGATGTGAAGGCGCGGATCGGCAAAGCAAGAGCAGCATATTTACAACTGAGGAACATCTGGAACTCAAAGCAACTGTCAACCAACACCAAGGTCAGGATTTTCAATACAAATGTCAAGACAGTTCTACTGTATGGGGCAGAAACCTGGAGAACTACGAAAGCCATCATCCAGAAAATACAGGTGTTTATTAACAGTTGTCTACGCAAAATACTTCAGATCCGTTGGCCGGACACTATTAGCAACAACGTACTGTGGGAGAGAACAAACCAGATCCCAGCGGAGGAAGAAATCAGGAAGAAGCGCTGGAAGTGGATAGGACACACATTGAGGAAAGCACCCAACTGCGTCACAAGACAAGCCCTCACATGGAATCCTGAAGGCCAAAGGAAAAGAGGAAGACCAAAGAACACATTACGCCGAGAAATGGAAATAGACATGAGAAAAATGAACAAGAATTGGATGGAACTAGAAAAGAAGGCCCAGGACAGAGTGGGTTGGAGAATGCTGGTCTGCGGCCTATGCTCCATTGGGAGTAACAGGCGAAAGTATGTATTACACTGAAAGATAGCCTAATATGATGATGTAATTTAGAACTGTCGATAATTAGTATCAAACAAAGTGGGTGCGGTAGACGGCACATACATAAACTAAAGGCCTGTATTAACTAAGATGAAGGGATACAGAGATAAGTAGTTTCGAAGATGACTACCATCTAAGATTATTATGGTGCTTCACGCATTATGGTGGAGTTATAGTGTGTATGAAAGACACTGATGATGTCACAGGTATTCAGTGTTTGACAACGCTTCTACCAGTAACACCTTCTAATATATTTCGTTCCCACCAAGAGAAATCAAAAGACAGAGTCGAGGAGATCGGAAGAGTGTATTCGGCGATTACCAATATATCGGAATTCTCTGATCTAATCTGGCTAGCGATTGCGGTTGATGTTGAGCACGGCGTTACCACACGTGATCTGGTACGGATGCCTGACCGAGCGCCTTCAGCTAGATGAGTCCACTAAAACATATGGTCAGCATCCAATGTCGAAAACTTACAGGGCTATTTATTTTGGGGATTTATTTACCGCTACAACACCTCAAGCATACGAGCTGTCGAGACAGTGACACACGACTTAGGGACATGCAAACTGGTGCGTTGCAGGATGAAATACAAACGGCAAGATATTGAACTAGTCGTGGTGTAGCACGGTCAAGAATGTGTAGCAGATGACTTCCCTCTAAGCAAACTTAAGTCCTGGTGAAATAGAGGTAAAAGCCTCACAACAGGCGACTTTGAGGCATCGTATATAAATTGGGTAAAATAAGAAGTAGGGTAATCAAAAACGTTATTTGATTTTAAGTCATTAGAAACCACAATTTCCCGAACTTAAAAAAACTCGTCTCCTTTGAACCTAATTTTCGTATACGGTGATAATGTTAGTTAAATAACTTCCCTCCCACCTCTACGGAGAAGGGATCATACGGTCATTTCATTCAAGTTCGTTGCTGAGAGGGCATGTCAAACTGCTGTGCCGACCTGTCCTAACATATGGAAGGCAGATATGAGAGCTATCAACTCTGCTGCATCGACTGAAAACTGGATGATTGACTCAAGGGCATCAGTAGAAAAGGCATGAACCCATTTCAGGCATATATACCCTGGACAGTCCCAAAGAAGAGGCACTGCTATCTCTGGAAACTCTCGATTAAAGGGTGTCTCTCATATCCTGAAAAAATTGCAGAGAGGGATTCGCCAAACACAGAGTGGTTTTAGAAGCCAGACCTATTTACTCTGTCCAAACTCAGATTGGAAGGCTATCTGATTTTGAAGTATAGAATACTAAGGGATGATTTTGAATCTAAAATATCCTCTATTTTTTCCCAAACAGATAAGGACATCTCAGAGGACATAGCAGGGGAGTAGAAAAGTCAAGAAGGAATAAAATACCCGTGGCATACAGGTTTTCACACCGGGTTACCAATTCTTGAAGCAGTGGTATCCGCACCTTCAATTGATTCATTCAAGAGAAGATTGAAAACTTACACGAACATACTGTAAAAGGAATAAGATAGACCATAGGCCTTCTGTCCTTACCATACAAATCTGAATCTATTGGACGTTGTAGACGGTGATTTGTAAGTTGCGTTATATTTGGGCATGGAAAGCGTAGATGAGTTTCACCAGCTGAACCTCGACCAGAGAATCTTGAAGGTGATGGAATAATTAGTCGTGTATAAGTTTTCATAGGCTATTTCAGATTTGAACTGGATAAAACCCACTGATATACAGCAGGTCGTTATACCACTGGTTTTCGCCAAAAAGTGTTTGATAGTTCACGCGAAAACAGGATCTGGGAAGACTGCTGCATTTGCGATTCCGATTCTAAATGACCTTCTGCAGGAGAAACAGGTAGTGCCGGATGGTTTCTAACCTTCTTAGTTTGCTTTGTGCCAATCCACTTCAGTCGTTGTTCTTGCTCCAACAAAAGAGTTATGTTCGCAAGTTGCCAGTAATGTCAAATCCCTATGTAAATATGCTGCCAAAAGTATTTCATCGGTTGACATATCGACCGGTCATGACATTGATCAAATAAAGTAAATCAATTCATAGACATGTGTTCGTATAGGCCTCTCATATTAGAGAACCCTGATATAATTATCGGAACACCGTCTAGACTAATGAAAGTCTTACGTTCAGGCATATTATCATTAAAGGATCTACGGTGCATCGTCGTGGACGAGGCTGACCTTATATTTACATTTGGTTACGAAGCTGAGATACGTGATCTGAGATCTTATCTTCCTCCAAAGATTCAAGTAAGTTCCTATTGTACAAAATACCTAATATAATGAAATCCACTTGTTTTGATAGTGAGTACGGACTTAAATATTTATACTGCTGGGATGCATCCGTATGTGTATACGTAGTCGGATAGGGGTAGCAGCAATAGGTTGCGTGGCATTTGAAGTGGTAATGTTATTTATTAATCCTCAGAACCTATAAAAGTTTATTATTTGTTTATTTAAACACATAAAAATTAGTACAAGAAGGCACCGAATATATATGTACCACAAAAATGATTTTATGTGTGTGAGGGCTGTGAGACGGTTCGGGGGCCCAAACCGAAGCAGTTAGTTTTCTTAAGGAGTACTGTCCTAGCCTTTGACCTAAAAGTCTAACCCACAAGGCAGTGAAGTAACGTTAGGAGATGCAGTACCATGGTGGCCGGTTACCAACAATAGATTCGCACGCCATTTGTTTCCTTAAGATTCTGGAGTCCCTGTGCACCATCGGTTTGGAATCAGGGTTTTCCAAGTTATCCATGCGGTTCCTCCATATCCATCAACCCAGTTAAAGCGCCGGACACTCTCTTTTTGCCCTCCCAATTTCATACACACCCCCTCAATGAGAAGGCAGTGAGTAGGACTTCCCTGACAGTGGGTGTATACTCATGGCCACTTGAGAGTATTTCGAGAGGGAGAGCTGACTCTCCCCACTCTCGGCCGTACTAGGGCATTTAGGGGTGAACCTATAAGAAACCATTAGGGGTTTAAGTGGAAAGGTTGGTTTATGTGCTCTTGATTACTAGGCTTTTGGTTTTTAAAACTGCACTGATTTCAAAATGCAAAATGTTGCTTCAGGATTGGGTTACATCGACACCCGAACTAGTGATAGGGAGTGAAGTAGTTGAGTGTGTCGACCGCTTCACTTATCTTGGAAGTCTCATCAGCCCTTGTGGTTTAGTGTGTGACGAAATCTCAGCACGGATACAGAAGGCTCGATTAGCTTTTGCCAACTTGCGTCATTTATGGCGTAGGCGAGATATCCGTCTATCAACCAAAGGACGTGTTTACTGCGCAGCAGTTCGTTCCGTCCTACTTTATGGGAGTGAAACATGGCCGGTAAGAGTAGAGGATATCCGTAGGTTACTAGTATTTGGTCATAGGTGTCTTCGAAACATTGCTCATATATCATGGGACCATCGAGTAAGTAACACAGTTGTTAGGAAACGGGTACTAGGTAAGGATGGCAAATCAATTGATGAAGTAGTGAAACTTCATCAGTTGAGATGGCTTGGACACGTGTTACGTATGCCCAACGACCGACTGCCTCGACGTGCTATGTTCAGTGGTATAGGAGTAGGTTGGAAGAAAGCTAGGGGCGGCCAAACCAAAACATGGCACAAGTCCATGAAGTCACTGACAAGTGAACTGAGTCATGTTGGTAGGTGTAGACTACCTGGTTGGGGACCGCGAGATGACAGCAACCGTTGGTTAGAGACCCTGAATGACATGGCTCAAAATCGTTTGCAATGGCGCAGGTGCATCCACTCTCTGTGTTCTCCCAAATTCTAATCTTCTGAATTCTTCATGTCCCTTTTTTTCCTCTTTCCAAATTTCTTTCACTGGATTATACTCTTTAAATAACATCTCCAAACCCTAATCTTCCCGATTACTGCTTATACTCTTGCTACCTCTACCACTACGGGATTTGAATCGACAAGTGCATCTCTGTGCTAATGTGATGTGGCAACTCGAACTGATGTACGTACGTACGAAGTTCTACTGTGTTACTGACTGACTGACTGATTTCAAAAAATCTAAAAAGTTTTAAATATATGCATTTGGGCTACTGGGATTGATTTCAGGCTGACGTTTAAGATCTATAACTACCGTCTATCTTTGGTATTTGTCGTACCACTCAGAGCCAGTAGTTATCTTCAAGGGAAAGGGATAAAAGCTCCATCAGCTATGTAGATTTACTGTTCAGAAACGAATCCAGCCATTCACCTTATAATTGGTATTTGCCAAGAAGGAATAACAAGAAAAATCGATTACTCAAGGTTCCCATTATGCTGTTCCTGACCACGACAAAGGTTTGCCTAGTCTAAATATTGTTATTCTTTTTGGATTGTAGTGGTTTTAGTAGTGGTAGGAATTCTGAAGGAAACGACATTGAGATACTTTTATTAGTGATTAACGTATTTATACTTATCATATTTCTTGGATATATGATTTAGAGTGAGGGATCATCTAGTTCGGTATATGGTCTGACAATAGTTATAGGATTTTCGTGTTGCTTGGCTGTTTCGTATGTGTGCTACTGTCTACCTACACTGCATGACCGGTATAGATCTGGTTTTGTATTACATACAAATCCTGTGGTTCAAAAGTTTTACCTCTAGCGTCCTAGTGATCTCTCTTACGGCTAGTTTATCCTGCAATATAATCATCCAAAGAACCATGTAGTTTTGCTTTGTGAAGTCGTTCGAGTAGTCCATATTTTGAGCTCAGAAAATTTATGAAGTTCTAAGTGTGAATTAGGTAAACAAAAAGTTTAATGATTGTACTTACCGTAAGTATAGCCATCTGTTTCCGTATAGTAGTGAATTTGTAAGTAGGCGTAAACAAATAAGTAGTTTCTTGCATGGGATATATTTCCGGAGTAAATTGTAACATGATTTCTTGCTTTTTTCACAGGCCATTTTGATGTCTGCTACTCTGGATGATACATCTAAAGTCATAAGACGGTATTTGGTGAAAAGTGCTGACTGGGTTCGTGTAGAGTTACCCGATGAAGCTTTTTTACCAGGAGACAGCCAACTAACACAATATATTATCAGGTATGTCGTCAGTTTGATTCCAATGTTTTTATTTTTTTTATTTATATTCACTGGAACGCGTTTATGGTTGCTTTTCAAGTATCTGTTTCCTGAAATTGTCTTCATAAAATCGGAGTTAAATTATATATGGATAGTAAACATCGCATGTTACTAGCAACCCGACCGTTGTTGCTACCTCGACGTGGCGGTCGGGCTTGCCTATCGTGATGAAGCAACCGAGCTATACTGACTGGAACAACTGTTCCTCAAGGTCCTACCATGTCATACAGATCGGTTGATGAGCGGTAAGACTAAAAGCAACAAACCCAAGATCCGAAGGTGAAGTGGTACTGCTGACTGTACAGAGGTGTGACAGCAGTAAGGTGTTTCCTTCAGACAACCAGCATGACAGCGATGCTGCCTTCCCACAAGGAGGGGTGGGGTTAGAAAAGGTCGACCCTAAAAATGCACACCTCGCCTTATCCCACGGATATCCGTCTCCGGCGGTAAGGTCTCAACAAGTACGGAGCTAACACAAAAATTGCCCATAAAAAGGTCGTGTGTGACCGACCTCAAGCAGTTGTCCCTTGGGCACTGCGGTCACGCTCCCAGGTCACTAAGACCACCTCTAATCCAATTTCCTTTTCAGGTACCTCCAGAACAACCCTTCCACGGTGTGGGCAACCAGGAAGTGATAACCGCCCTCATACCTCTAACAGCACTCAAGACCACTGTATTCATAATAAACCTCCGTCTTCACTTTCTATCATTCCTCCTACATCGACTTTCATCTCTAAACTTCCTTTTTCGGCTTCCTCCTCAAATGTCACCATAGCCAACGATTCCAGTGCTCAAAACACTGTCCCAGGTCTATTGAAACCTCGCTCCAAACTACACATTGGAACCTTCAACGTACGCACCCTATGTCAAATCGGTCAACAGGCTTCCTTGGCTAGACCCTAGAATCTCGTACCATTGATGTATGCTGTGTCTCTGAAACACGCATACAGGATCATTCACTTGACCCCACCTCGGCAAAACGGAGAGCCAACGAGATACGCCTTCTGTGTATCTGGTGACTCGACGGCCAGCTCTCGTGGACTGGCAGGAGTAGGCATAGCACTAAGCATGAGGGCGGAACAAGCACTGTTAGAGTGGATCCCTGTCAACAGTCGTTTATGTGCTGTTCGGCTAAACGGCTCCGTAAGAACTCGGAAGGATAGGGACACACGTCGTTGCCTTTTTGTTGTTTCTGCCTACGCTCCCACTGACTGCAGCTCAGATGAAGTGAAAGATGAATTTTACAGAAAGCTTTCTGAACTTCTTCAGAAAGCTAAACGCTCAGACATAGTACTCGTAGCAGGTGACTTTAATGCTCAGATAGGTAGCTTAAACCAAACAGAAAGGCATTAAGGTAGGTATTCCGGCTCAGCGAACAGATAATGGTGATCGTCTGCTGCAACTGTGCTCAGACAATCGTTTATTTTTAGCAAACACAAATTTTAAGCATAAGGAGAGACATCGTCTAACATGGCGACCCCCTACACCAAACCAACGATGGACTCAAATAGACCATATTGCCATCAGTCATCGTTGGAGAGGGTCGGTAGAAGATTGTCGCTCATTCTGGAGTACCTGCTTGGACTCCGACCATGCCCTAATACGGGCACGCATCTGCTTGCGCCTCACTGGACGCAAAAAAGCCACATTAAAAAGACCCATTAGAACTGAGTTGAGTAACGAGAAAACCAAAAGTAGGTTCCAGGAACAACTGAGGTCACACTTAGGTAGTTGTGAAGACGAGGCTGACCCAGATGTTGCTTGGAAAGACATACAAGCAGCTGTGGAAACAGCAGTGACATCTATTAGTGACTTAAACCACAGAGTTACAAAGAACCAGTGGATTTCTTCAAGGTCTATCACACTGATGGATTCTCGCAAACTCGTCCCATCAGGTTCTGAACATGATGAAGAGCGACAACAAATCAGATCTAGGTTAAGAAAAAGTCTAAGGAACGACCGTGAGCAGTGGTGGGCAACGAAAGCAAAAGAGATGGAAAAGGCGGCGACTATAGGGAACACAAGACAGCTTTACAGACTAATAAAAGAAACTGGAATTAATAAGTCAAGTGTAAGTGAGATTATTTCGGAAAAAGACGATACTCTCATCTGCTCCCAGTCCAGACGTTTAGAACGATGGGCGGAACATTTTAGAGAACAGTTCAGCTGGCCTTCAGCTACTCTACAACTACCCTCCATTCCCAGACAGTGTGAATGGAACATTGAAGTAGGTCCCCCAACTCTTGCTGAAGTTCAAAAGGCTATAGTTAATCTGAAACGAGGAAGGGCAGCTGGTCCAGATGGATTGGCTCCAGAGGTCTTTAAGGATGGTGGTCCAATTTTAGCGATTAGGTTGACTAATATTTTAGCTAAGATCTGGGAGTTAGACGTTATCCCATCTGACTGGTCGCAATCACTTATCGTCCCAATATATAAGAAAGGGTCAAAATCATCCTGTGACAACCACAGAGGGATTAGTTTAACAAATATAGTATCTAAAATACTAGCCTCGATAATTATCAGACGCCTAACTAAGACTCGTGAACTGCAAACACGAGAGAACCAAGCTGGCTTCAGACCTGGTCGTGGCTGCATCGACCACATATTCACCATTCGTCAGGTTCTAGAACACAGGCATACTTATCGGCGTCCGACAATGGTGGTCTTTCTTGACTTAAAAGCAGCATTTGACTCTGTAGACCGCGAGATTCTGTGGCAGTGTCTGTCATTGAAAGGCGTACCTCAGAAGTACATAAACCTTGTGAAGGCTCTTTACTCGAACACTACTAGTCGAGTCAGAGCTTATGGCGAACTGTCATCTACTTTTGCGTCCGTCAAGGCTGTCCACTTTCTCCATTTTTGTTTAACTTCATCATAGACCTATTGATGGAAATAACACTCTCGTCGACTGAATTCTCGGGTATTGATCTCCTTCCAGGAGGTCCACTTATCGACTTAGAATACGCAGATGACATAGTCCTGTTTGGTGAAGACGCTGACAAAATGCAGAGTCTTCTGGTAGCACTAAGCAACAATGCCAGAATGTTTGGAATGCGCTTCTCTCCCTCTAAATGCAAGTTGTTGCTTCAGGACTGGTCTGCGTCAACACCTGAACTAAGGATAGGGAGTGAAGTAGTCGAACGCGTTGACAACTTCACTTATCTTGGAAGTCTGATCAGCCCTAATGGGTTGGTGTCTGACGAAATCTCAGCACGGATTCGAAAAGCTCGTTTGGCTTTTGCCAACTTACGTCACCTTTGGCGAAGGCGAGATATCCGTCTATCAATAAAAGGACGAGTATACTGCGCGGCAGTCCGTTCTGTTTTAATTTACGGCAGCGAAACATGGCCATTAAGAGTAGAAGACACTCGTAAGCTACTAGTATTTGACCACAGATGCCTTAGAAATATTGCTGGCGTCTGCTGGGATCACCGGGTAAGTAATAGTGAGGTTAGACGCAGGGTATTAGGAAATGATGGTAAATCAGTTGATGAGGTTATGAATCTTCATCGACTGAGATGGTTGGGCCACGTGTTACGTATGCCTGAACACCGATTACCACGACGCGCAATGCTAACCGGTGTTCGGGATGGTTGGAAGAAAGTTAGGGGCGGCCAAACCAAAACGTGGCATCAGTGCTTGAAGTCACTAACTTCTAGTCTGAGCCATGTTGGTAGATGCAGACTACTTGGTTGGGGTCCGCGTGACAATCGTAACCAATGGTTGAAAACTCTTGGTGACATGGCTCAGAATCGATCACAATGGCGTCGGTGTATACACTCTCTGTCTTCCCTTAAACTAAGAGATTAAAATTGCTTCATATCTTTCTTTCTACGAACTAATTCTTTCTCCCTGTACTATATTCTTTATTGCAATCTTTCTTTTATATATTACCACCTCTGAATTAACTACTTTTATGAATTCGGTGTCCATCTTGCTGTGCTAATGAGGTATGGCAACTTGGACCGATGCATATATATGCCTGGTCCTACGTTGTAGCTAACTGACTGACTGATATTGCTAGCAATAAAATAAGTACGTGTGATCTATGAGTATAACCTGATACGTTTTGTTTAGAAAGATATTTATTCACGTGCTTACTCACATTTGTTTCAGAGAAAAGATGTAATATGCATCAGTCCTCTTTGATGTTGTACACCATGACGAGTATTTATGTTTTTCTGTACAAACTAATCACAATTGACATCATTTTTATCCGCATCTAACCGATTTAGTGCGCATAAACGTAACATGCACAAAAGTATCGACCGAAGCCGAGTACTTCTTACTTGTTTCAAACTGTTTATTAACTTTTCATACTCTGAATTTGTATACATTCACGCTAATATGTTCCCTTCTTTCTAAGTGCTGAAGACGAGGACAAATATGCCATTTTAATTGCTTTATTCAAATTGAGGATAGTTCGTGGAAAAACACTGATTTTCACTAACTCTGTTGACCGATGTTACAAGTAAGTTAATTAGATTATCTTTTAAATGGTTGTTTCGTAAGCTCTGTTTTACTTTCCTATCGAATCGTGAAGTAATTTGTTTTAAATGCTCTAAAATATAAACTATCAATAGTAATGTATTACTCATTTACAGTTTTTCACAGAAGCTTTGTACACCATATACAGATAAAGTTGTTTCTCTACCTTTTTATGCTAGTTCTTAACAATATTCAAAAGCAGTTGTTATTCAAATACTAGGATACTTTTTGTCAAATATGGTAAAATCAGTCAACAGGTATTGGTGTAACAAAAGCTGGTATTATAGTTTATGTTGCAAAACTACTTTTTTATAGAATAAACGGTTAATATTAATTGTAAAAGAACGGGCGTCTTAGCCAGCATGGCAAAAAGGGATCCAAGAAATGTATAAGTGGTAAAACAGCAATAGTTATGAGTTTTAAAACGTTTATGTTGTAAGATGTATATTGTATTACTACTATTTCATTTGTACTAGTTGTTTACATCTTTACATTGATGTTTAGAACTGAGATTGATCAGTCCCTTCTGGAATATGCATTGAAACAATTATTAGCTTAGTGATCTTATGTATCAGTAGACCGATTTTCTACGTTACTGATGGTGCTTTTCGATTTTCCGTACAAAAGTAGACCATGTGGGCTTAAATCTTTGATATAAAGTTTGGAATCAAGTTCATCCCCACTTCATTTACTGTAGTCCGAGAAAAGTAGTAACATTACTAGCCTTCAGACAAGATGTGTAACTGAAAGCCGAATTTACAGACTTGTAACCAGTTATCGGATTTCACTAAGTTAATCTGAATCTGGAAAGAGTCAAATAATTAGACAATAGGTGACAACTTCTAAGTCACAGTAAACAAACATGTTCATTTTGGATGACTACTGTAAGTGCACACCGAGTTATACACAAAATGGGAAAGATCGGTCCGGTGAATGCATTTTCAAAACCGTGTCGGGTATGAGGCAGTTACCAACCGATGAAAATAGATGGTCGAGCGATATCGTGGATTGGTTGAAGTTAGATATCAATACCGCTGGATGCCATGTCAGCGGCCTAGAGGTTAAGCGTTCGAGCGCAAAACCGAAGGTCCTAGGTTCAAACTCCGCGTGAATGCGCACTTCTGAGAAGTCCTATACTAGGATAAAATGGCTGTCCAGTGCTTCCAGTGTTCAGTGGTGGTCTAACATAGTTCGGTTCATGAATTCAATAAAATGTGATTGGTCACCGAACGCAGAATAACACGCACTTAGCCTACGGACTATTAAATATTTGATTTCCATTCTTATTGATTTCTACTCCGGACTGATTGAAAGTGCTTGTAATTGAGATGAATAAAGTATTGTCTAGTTTATACTTTAGGGCATGAATATGGATCTGATATAACGTGACTAGTCTTATTATCGTAGTAACGTATCATCGTAGTATTACTGAGAGAAAAATATTTAAAACCGTTATATCAGTCTGTAGAAAAGATAGAAGGGAAGCAAATAACTGTGAAGGGAGAAGAATACGTGAGGTTAAGACTATGGTAGAATAAGAGGTTATACCAGTTATTTTGAACACATAATTCTGGTTTTTCCAGATGTATGGCTAGTGCTTCGGAAATGTTCAAGTCCACAACAACAAAACTATTATTCGTTTCCCTGTCCAAAAATAGCGTTTTAATGCCTTTGCTTCCTTTACATTATTATTGCCATGTTTAACCGAGCTTGATTATCACTACTATAATAATAATAATAATTTTTAAAAATGAGTATATATTTGCGATTCTACAGTTTTGGAAATGCATTAACCGAAGAGAGAACTCTTCACCTGACTAATCTTTCTTATTTAATGTCTGAGTGGGCTTATTTAGTTTATATTCAAGGTCTTTAATGGTCTTCTGCAATATGTTAAAGGCTAACTGAAAAATTTTCCACTAATTTTTTATCCCAACATTACGTCTGTATGAGGAGTTTGGTGTAAAGTCCACTCAGGAATTCGTATAAGTTCAGTATTTCATGGTTATCTGTGATATTGAGTACTTAGTTCCGGAATCTTAACGGTAAGTAATTATGTGTCTATTATAGAATAAACAATTCCAGCAAATTATTTTTTAAAATTCAAATCATAATGAATTCCAGTTTACCAATTGCATTACAAGTGTCCTTTTTTCAGGCTCCGTTTATTTTTGGAAGAGTTTGGAATTAGAGCAGCACTGTTAAATTCAGAGCTACCAGTCAAGTCACGTTCTCATGTTATCGATCAGTTTAACAGAGGGCTATACGACTATTTATTAGCGACAGATGAGTCGCAAGCAGATCATAGTACTTCAAATAATGAAGGTGGTAAAAAGTCATTAAAAAGTAAGTCTTGGTTAAATTTACTCATTAAAATCCATTCTTAATTTTCCTTTCTCACTACAATGATAACTTAAAAACGTAAGTGTGGAGTACTAAGTAAAGATTACAGACGAGCTATATTTCACGTATGGTCACTCCCGACTGTTGTTGCTACCTTGACGTGGTGGTCGAGCTTGCCTATTGTGATAAACCAGTCGAGATATACTGGCTGGAACAATCATTCCTCAAAGTCCTACCATGCCAGACAGGTCAGTTAAAGAGCGGTAGGACCAAAACAGCAAACCCAAGATCCGAAGGCGAAGTGGTACTGCTGACTGTACAGAGGTGTGACAACAGTAGGGTGTTTTCTTCAGACAATCAGCATGACAGCGATGCTGCCTTCCATCAAGGAAGGGCGGGGTTAAAAAAGGTTGACCCTAACAATGCACACCTCGCCTTATCCCACGGATATCCGTCTCCGGCGGCTAGGTCTCAACTTTGACTGACTGACATATGGTCACTTACCGTATACCTCGGTACACAATAATGTCTATCATATGAGTAGGTTGGAATTTAGTTAGGGTCGAGCAAATAAAGACATGGTTTCAGTTGTTGAGGTCAATGATCGTTGTTTTAAGTCGTTTTGGGTGTAAATTTCCTGTTTGGGGTTCACACTAACTAAAGTGAGCGTTTGTGTACCTTGAGTGATATGGCTTAGGATTTACATCTCTTCTTTGTCTTTCTCTAGATCTTGAGTTTCAATATTACTTTTCATTTTCGTTTCCGTATTTAATTTGTTCTTTTTACGCTATGTTCACCACTTTTAATTTTTACTACCATTTTTACAATTACAATTAAGGTTCCTTTACACTTCATTCGGTTAGTTTCCACTTTCGCTGTGTCGATGTGGTAAATAGTAACTTGGGTCGATCCACGTATGTAAAATCTCATACTGCTTATGCAAGAATGATCGCTCTATTAGTTCGAATTATTGGTTTTTTCACCTGCAGAAATTCGAAGGAAGAACAAGGAAAAGAGCTAGAGTAAATTAGAAGTATTAAATTCGGGTTTTGGTGTTGCGACTATGCAGACCGATACTTTCAAGTATACATAGCTCTAAGGTCATGTCGGGTGCAGAGAGTGGTTGTAGTATTATATTCCAATTTTTCTGAGAAAAACAAATGGCCTTTAGGTATAGTTCAGAGAGCGAGCTGAAACTACAACCATCATAAAAAGTACAAGTATTTATAATCAATTGTGTTCACAAGATACTCGGTGTCCGTTAACCGTATACTATCAGCAAAATCCTATTGTGAGAGAGAACAAACCAGCTTCCATCTAAAGAGGAATTTGTGAAAACACGATGGAGGTGGATAGGACATACATTTCGAAAATTACCAAACTGCATCACGGGACAAGCGCTAACTTGGAATCCTAAAAAGAAAAAAGAAGACTAAAGAACACAATGCACCGGGAATTGGAAGCAGACATGAAAAAATATAAATAGCAACTGGAAAGGATCGTCCAGGACAGAGTTCCGTGGGGAATCCTTGCGGGCGGCCTATGCTCCTCCACGAGAGGTAACAGGTGTAAGTAAGTACCACTAAGGTCAACCAGTGTCTATATGTGTCGTGTTTTATTACCTACACTCGTAATTATCGTCATTTAACTAATTCGAAAAATGAGATTACACTTTTCATTTACTGTAAGTTGTTACCGAGAGCATAGTCCTTTTCATCTTCGCACACTGCTGTTTCCGACGTAGTGGGACTACCATTCACTGGCGTGGACGATGTTTTACTTCCAATATGGTTTGATTCCACCTATCTAGTCTCACGACGAATTCACTTCAAAGCTATACGCTTTCTTGTTACATTGCTCTTTTCACTGTATTATAATATTCATTTCCAAAGTTTATGTAGTTTTCTCCTATTTCTATACGCGGTATAGCATAAAATGTCCTTTTTTTACTAGATCACGATGTCGTGATGTTGAATATGGTGTATCTAGAGGGATCGATTTTCAATTGGTCAGTAATGTAATCAATTTCGACTTTCCACCAACACCTATCCTTTATGTACATCGCGTCGGACGGACAGCTCGAGCTGATCAAATGGGAACTGCTCTTTCATTTGTCAGTAAATTGGAAGAAAGTCGTTTAGCTGATGTTGAAGCGTTATTAAATCCGGCTGGTGCAGCTGCTGCAGTAAAATCAGGTGTAGCCAGTGAGAAAAGTGTGTTACTTTCTATTTAATTTTGTTGTTGTCACAGTTAATATAAATAAATGAAAAAATTCATTCGATAATATTACCATTTACCAGTTGGCTTAATTAATCTTACTTTATTTAGTCGATATTTTGCACATGGTTAATTAACAATTGGGATTGGTTATACTTAAAGGAACTGAAATATCTTTAAGTAGTATTTTTCATAAAATATGTTTCGATTTTGTACGATCATCACTATTCTGGTTGAGAATTGTCGTAATGATTTTCAGAGTTGTTTTTATTTTGAATAGACTAGTAAATTTAGTTAATGTTCTGTTTTAAAGTGGCTAGCTTTGTAGTAATATTCAATTTGTAAAAAGATCCAACTTTCTACAGCCTTGAATCACATAATCACTTAACATGAAAATGATTTGTGCTGTGATTTTGGATTATTTATATTCATGAGTACATGGAATCTGATCGATAAAACTCAATCAACATCAAGGATTAGATACAAATGTGACATTACGTACTATCCGCCGATTGGTTATTGCGTTTCCTTCCCGACTACATCTCTGAGCTGTACCGGGTTCACACCATACGGGGAGCATCAGTTTCCATAATACTGTAGATACTGTTGATTTTGAGATGGTGGAGAAGATTTGTAGCTCAGGTGGATGGTTTTGATGGAGTTTTGTTTTCTGAGCTGGATGGTTTGGTTGTGGAGCTTTCATCATTCTTCTGAAATACATCATCAGCACAAACTTCAGATAGATGTGATGATATCACTCAGAAGAATGATGAAAGCCCCACGACCAAACCATCCAGCTCAGAGAACAAAACTCCATCAAAATCATCCACCTGAGCTACAAATCTTCACTGTAGATACTGTTTTCTAATAACTAACACGAAAGCTAGATTCACAGTGTCCTCCCGATCGACTCACTCACATTGGATTTAATCGATATATTTTTATCAGCTCTATAGATTAAACAACATAACATCGATTCATTATCAACAACCAATCATCATAAACACTTGTTGATCGTTTTTATAACATTATATATTATTACTGTATTGCTTAAATATTCTTCTCCCCTTAATTACAGAAGATTTTGCTTCGTCTATCTTCAGACCTTATCAGTTTCGTCTTTCTGAAGTAGATGGTTTCAGATATAGAGCAGCTGTAAGTTTCATATAAATGCATAATTGACATTCATTTCTTTTTTTCTGGAAATTCTAAGTTTAGAGAAAGAATATAATACATTGTATTTGTTTGTTTGTTTATTGTAGGATGTTATGCGCCATATAACTCGTAAAGTTGTAAGAGAAGCACGTTTGAAAGAAATCAAACTTGAGCTACTCAATTCTGAACGTTTGAAAGGTTACTTTCAAGATCATATACCCGATTTAGAGGCGCTTCGTCATGACAAACCACTCAAACATGTTGCTCAACCACATCTCAAAGATGTACCAGATTATCTAGGTAAGGTTCCAAATATAGCAGTTTGTGGATAATAGTATACTGAGTTATTCGATCTACCAAACCAAATTAGATGGAGCGTCGTGTTTAGAAAGTTCAGCCTAATGGTTTAAATTTGAACACTGATCATTTGACTGCTGGCTCGTTTTATGTAATCCAGGTCATTCGAACGGGGGCAATATTAAAGATCACGATTATGGTCCATAGCAAATCGGATGAAGAAATAATATAAGAAAAGAGGGAATTAACCGTTTGTTACTGTTGGAAAACAAAGCAATTGTGTTATTGAAGCTAAAAAAATAACTGTTGTAGTTAAGATACACTAGCACATGAAATGAAACAATTCATAGGGAGTATCCTCAGACATTTCAAGTGATCATTTAAATATACTTGGAACAGTACCATAAAACAGTCCGGCAAAACTAACAAGTTCTTCAGTTTTATCACTGATTGCAGGTAATTACATGGAACAACAATAATACTGACTTCATCCTTCTGATCTAATGATCTACGATGAATGTGACTATCGTATGGTGAGTCGTAGAGACCACAAGTGTTTGAAATTGGTAAAGATTGACGCTACTAATAAAATTGATTCTGCGTTGAATATATTTAGTTAGGTGTGATCAAATTTCATCACAAAGAATGTAGTTGCTTACAACAATAATGTAAGCTTTGCTGTTAAACCACTGAACTCGATAGCATCAAACGCCCTCACCTAAGTTACGCATTTTCTTTATTATTACAAAACTAAACTATGCAATATGATTATTCAAACCAAAAATATAATATTCCATATACCTATTATCAAGTGGATTTCACTGTGTACTAATAAAACTTAAGTATTGCATTGACACTATGTATTGGCAGTCAAAGCATTCATTTTTCAATTACTAATCAACAGATCCGGACTCTGTTTCACGCACTTGAACTCAGTTATTTGAGTAGTTGTAGTAGTAGCAGTTTTACTAGTTTTTACACACAAGGTGTGGCTCAGAGCTAGATACACAAACTTGTACTCGGTCGCACTAGTGTTTTGTTAATGACATGTACAATTTTTAGATCAGTTTCACGCGTACTCAAGGCTTTGTGATTTTAACTCATTTTTAATGAGCTATGGGATTAAATAACAAGAAACTATCACTTGGTCTTCAATAACAAGGGTACTGGTTCAAACTCTGTCAACTTCATTTTGTGCAGTGGGTTAACATCAGTAACCTTTACACTCAAAGTATAACTTTATACTTGATGAGTTACAACACTATGTGGTGGTAAATAAACTATTTCAGTGTACGAAACTATAAATCTTCCTGTTATTGACAGTACTTCCACATATATTACGGAATGCAAGAAATATGTCATACTTCATCATGATTGAAATAGTGAATTCGAATCTTAATTGGTGTTCAAATCATAGTCTCTGTATTAATATATGCCTGAAAAATGGATACATGTATAAAGGATGACGTATATATAAAGTAGTCAGTTTACTGCCCTCTTCAGTAATTCGAGTCGAAATTGATTCAATCAATTCTGTTTTTTGACGTAAATACCATCAGTAAATATACATATGACTTTGTACGGGACTTCTAAATCTCCACACTTTTCTCGATTTTGATATAGCGGAAAAATAGGATTTTTAGGCATTCATTACTAAATGCAATCCTACTGTCGGAACACTAGGTTTCAGATACGAAATAGTACGACTCATCAGGGTCAATAGGACTTGATCGTTAGAGAATACAGTAGATATTAAACTGGACACTAAATAGCCATTTAGATCACGTGTGTACAGATACTCAAAGTCCAACCAATGATTGAAAACCAGATCACACTAGATGATAGTTTATTGATACAGATTACAAACAGTCAACATATGATAAAAACTGAGTAGAAATCAACAGTGAAGGGAAGTTACGGTATTACATAGTCTCATATGTTTAGCTTAGTCGTGTGTTGATCTTCTCTTATTAGCCAGTCATGTGTAATCTTCACCGAAACATCGGATTTACTGTCCTGTCTCAACAGTTGTTAGGATTTCTCTTCTAGTTGCAATCGTTTAGTTCACACTTGACCTTGTGTTATTTAGTTCGTTATGGGTAATCAAATCAATCTTTTCGTTTAACTTAAACTATGGTGTTAGTAGTCTTTGTTCTGCTTGTTTCTTTTTCGCTTGTATACGGTTCACTGTAATGTGCTTTTTTTCGCATGAAATATTTCATTGGATATATCATTTTATCATTCTTATTTTTAGTTCCTCAATCCTTAAAAGCTCTTATGCCAGGCAGCTGTCATAGTCGAAAAGCTACGCAAAGATGGAAAAGAAGAAATTTACACACTGATGATAAATCTAACACTTCATTTGTCGATCTTAAAAAGCGTTTACAAATTAAACACAAACAAGCTAAAAAAGTGAGTTAGTTTAGTCCATAGTTTAATCAACTTGAGTTCATTCAGTTGTTGTTACGTCCTTTTTCATGTGTAAGGGCCTTAAGCTATTCTGGTAATTCGTAACATTGCCTGTGGTTATAGAATATATCATGTTCTGATAATGATCATACACATGAATTCCAGAAATAATATCGAACACGAAAGTTAACATTGGAATAAGTTGCTTATGTATTGCTGGTAGAAGAGTAAGGCATAGTAGATGTTCATTGGTAGCAGACAGTCTTAGCGCATTAAACAAAACTACATACAAATTAACAAAATAATACTAAAACCTAAAGAATAAAAATGTTTGTCGAAGTTGTGTTAGTCAGTAGATTAATTGAAGGTAAGGATCATTTGATATTCCACCTGAGATACACATACGCTTGATATACCCGTTTCTTAGTGTTTAGCATAATTTTATTTATTTATTTGAACACATAGATATTGGTACTAAGAGGCACCAAATACATATGCGCCACACAAATCTCATTTGATATGTGTGAGGGCTGTGATACTGCCCGGGTGCCCAAACCGAAATAGGTGGTTTTCTTAGAGGGCCACTCCCCGAGCTTTCGAACTGAAGGTTTGACCCACAAGGCAGTGGAGCATCGTAAGGAGATGCAGTCCCATGGAAGCCGGTGACCAACAATGGGTTCATACGCCATTTGTTCCCTCAGGATACTGGAGCCCATGTGCACCATTGGTTTGGAATCCGGTCAAAGCGCCGGATATCCGCTTTTCGTCCTCTCATTTTCGTAAACAACACCCCCGCCACGAGAAGGCAATGAGTAGGACTTCCCTGGCAGAGGCTATATACGCGTGGCCGTGTGAGAGTATTTCGAGAGGGAGAGCGGACTCTCCCCACTCTCGGCCGTACCAGGGCGTTTGGGGGCTTAGTATAATTTAGGAGAAAGTAATGATTAGTTTTTGGTAAATTGATCAGCAGCAAATAATGTATATCATTGATCAAATGTAGTGATCAGTGCAAAGCCGAAATTTATTTATTTATTTATTTGAACACATGAATATTGGTACAAGAGAGCGCCAATATATATGCGCCACACAAAACAATGGGAATTCGAAGAGAAATAGAAAGAAAAAAAACTAAGGAGCGCAAAAAAAGAGAACAATAACGAAGAGATTGGTGTAAGGTAGTGTGGTAGTAACGAGGGAACGGAAAGGTACAATCAGAAGAAATCTTTCAGGTAAGGGAGACACAACCACTTTTTATGAAGAAAGTAAAAGAAGGTTACAGCAGGATCGCCACTGGCTTCTATTCTGAGCCATATCTGATAACGTCTCTAGCCACTGTGTAGCACCATCTCTCGGACCCCAACCAGGGAGTCGTGAAGGACCAACACAAGCCAGTCCTTTGCAGCTTTCTTTCATGCCACGACACCATGTCATGCACTGACCACCTCTCCGCTTCTTCCAACCAGTCCCAGAGTCGGCAAATAATGCACGACGTGGAATTCTCTGGGACGACATTCGGAGAACATGTCCAAGCCACCGAAGTCGGTGTTTCAAGATGGTGACACCAATTGAATTATCATCTCTGTGCCCGAACACACGATGCCGAACCTCTGCATTACTGACATGGTGTTGCCACTGAATGTCAGCAATCCTTCGGAGACAGCGATGATCGAACACAGAGAGTCGTCTAACGTCCTCAACTCGGAGAGGCCAGGTTTCACAAGCATAGAGCAAAACTGCTCTCACCGACGCGTTGTAGATCCGACCTTTTACAGCCAGACTAACATCACGAAGGCGCCAAAGGTGGCCCAGATTGGCATAAGCCGCTCTGGCTTTCACTATTCGTGCATTGATCTCATCACTCACACCCCCACCAGCACTTATGCAGCTACCCAGATACACGAACTTCTCGACTACGTCTATCTGCTCACCATCCAGGGTGAGTACAGGATTAGAATCCTGCCAGTCTTGTAGAAGTACTTTGCACTTCGAAGGTGCAAAGCACATACCATACCTACGGACACTGATTGCCAACTGATTAAGTGCGGATTGCATGCCTTGGGCATTATCGCACAGTAAGACAATATCGTCCGCATACTCAAGGTCGAGAAGTCTTTCTCCAGGCAACAGATCCACACCACCATTACTTACATTCATCAGAGCTGTTTCCAGAATGTCATCGATGGCAAAGTTGAAGAGGAATGGTGAGATTGGGCAACCCTGCCTAACCCCACTGCTCGAATGGAACAATGGAGAGAGGTGGTTGTATGCCCTCACTCTGCCTGAGGTGTTTTTATATAGGGCTTTTAGGATGTTAATAAACTTCTCAGGCACACCCTTCTTCAATAGACAATCCCAGAGAACAGTCCTGTCCAACGAATCGAAGGCAGCCCTGATGTCAAGAAACACTACGATTGTTGGCCTTTGATAAGTATGGCGGTGTTCTAACATTTGGCGGAGGGTGAAGATATGATCAATACATCCTCGACCAGAACGAAACCCAGCCTGCTCCTCGCGAGTCAATCTTTCTCGGGTTTTGAACAACCTACGAAGTATGACGGAAGCCAATAGCTTGGACGCAATCGGAAGTAAACTTATCCCCCGATAGTTGTTACAGGAACGACGTGAACCCTTTTTAAAGATAGGGACAACTATCGACTCATTCCATGACGTTGGTACACTCTCTAGTTCCCAAACCTTTGTAAACAACGTCGTCAATTCCTTAGTCAAAAAGTCACCACCATCTTTAAAAAGAGCCGGAGGTAAGTCATCTGGGCCAGGTGATTTGTAACGCTTCAAGAGTTGGAGTTCCTTGCGGACTTCCTCCTCGTTTGGTGGATCAGTCGTCACCGGCCATGGAGGGCAGGACAGTCTGACCGATGTTGCCGGAGCAGCAGGCCAGTTGAACTGCCCTTCGAAAAATTCTGCCCATCGTCCAAGACGTCGATGGATGTTAGTGATTGGCATCCCATCATCCTCGCAGATTGTTTCACTCACACCAGACTTCTTGCTGCCAGTGGCTCGGATGAGCTGGAAGAGCTTCCGGTAGTTACCAGATGCAGCTGCTGCTTCCAGCTCATTAGCACGCATCGACCACCAGGCTTCTCGGTCCTTACGCAAGCTTTGCCCAATTTCCTTACGTAACATCCTTCGTTTATGGTCAAACTCACGGTCACCCGGAGTAGACCGACGGGCTTCAATGAGTTGTAAGGAACCAGAAGAAACCCAGTGCTTAAAAGCGGGACGTTTCGCAAACCCACAACTGACTGTTCCCGCCATTTTCATGGCGTCATGCAATTGCAACCAATGCTCATCTATACTTTTCGGTGGAGTGGTAGCTAGCCTAGAGGCTAGCTCGGTTCGATACTTACTTGCAACAGAAGTTGCAACCAGCTTGCTAACATCAATCCGTTGATGGCGTTCACTTCGTTGTCCACTGAAAAGTAAGGCAAGATTGGCGCAGACCAAGGCATGGTCAGAGTCCAGATAGGTACTCCAAAAGGAGCGGCAGTCTTGTACACAACCACGCCAGCGGTAGCTGATCGCGATGTGATCAATCTGAGTCCAGGCTTGAGATGCAGAGGGAGGACGCCAGGTGGCACATCGGCGATGACTGTGCCGAAAGTTAGTGCTAGCCAGAAACAGGTTGTGGTCTGTGCAAAGTTGCAGTAGACGGTCCCCGTTATCTGACCTGCGACCAACGAGTCCCCATCGGCCACCTAAACGACTCTCTTCTGTGCCTAGACGCCCGACCTGAGCATTCAAGTCTCCGGCTAGTACTACAATATCTGTCGAACGCACTTTCTGGAGAAGAACTGATAACTGGTGGTAAAACTCATCCTTGATTGCATCCGGGCTGCAATCTGTCGGGGCATAGGCGGAGATGACGAAAAGACATCGTTTCTCACGCCGATTTCTTCTCACTTTGATGGAACTTTCTAATCTAACAGCACATAACCGACTGTTAATGGGGATCCAATCGACTAGTGCTGCCTCAGCTCTAGCGCTTAGTGCGACACCAACGCCAGCAAGACCAGACGAAGATGCCACAGGGTCCCCGGATAAGCGCACGTAAAACAAGCTTTTCGAAGCGACAGATGGAGATCGAATTTGTAGTACTTCGCCAGAGTCTTGAATACGGGTCTCGGATAGACAACAAACATCGATATTAAGACTTTCCAAAGACATAGCCAGCCCTATCTGTTGTCCGACCTGCATAAATGTGCGAACGTTGAAGGCAGCCAGTTTGAATGGTGCACGTGGTTTCAGAAAATCTGCTTCAGTCCTCGTATTCGGTGGTAACATACAATTTTCAACCGGACAGTGACTCGAGAACGTTTAGATACAGTCGAATTTCCACCAAAGACGAGCCGCTGTATAAGTATAAAAGAGGGTGAATAATGTGGAAAATAATAATAATAATAATAATAATAATAATAATAATAATAACAATAATAGTATAATAATAATAATAGTATTAATAATGACAATAATTGTAATGATAATAATTTGAATCAATTGTTGTTTTTCAAAGCAAGAAAAGTAATTTCCATAGACATAAAGAGTTCATCATTTGTGTGTGGGCTGTGATACTGCCCGGGTGCCCAAACCGAAGCAGGTGGTTATCTTAGGGGGCCACACCCCGAGCCTTTGACCTAAAGGTCTAACCCACAAGGCAGTGGAGCATCGTAAGGAGATGCAGTCCCATGGTAGCCGGTGACCAACGATTGGTTCATACGCCATTTGTTCCCTCAGGATACTGGAGCCCATGTGCACCATTGGTTTGGAATCCGGTCAAAGCGCCGGACATTCGCTTTTCGTCCTCTCATTTTCGTAAACAACACCCCCGCCACGAGAAGGCAATGAGTAGGACTTCCCTGGCAGAGGCTATATACGCGTGGCCGTGTGAGAGTATTTCGAGAGGGAGAGCGGACTCTCCCCACTCTCGGCCGTACCAGGGCATTCGGGGGCGCAAAGCCGAAAACCAACCTAGTTATTCTGATGAGTAATGACAAGCAGTAGAACGGGCTGTTGTCACATAATTATTCAAATTCCAGTGTTGATATGTTCTTTTCCTTCGAACAGAATAGTAAATTTCTTTGATAAATTGGTGCATCAGTGAGTTATTTATTTCTAATAAGTAGGTTTTATAAGTACTACCATCAACCGATATTTTTCCTTGAAATTATCTTTGATCCTACCGTTGGTTCTGACTTTTCTACGAAAATTTACTTATCAGCTGCTAAGTAAAGTGTGTAACGAATGACTTTTAAAGTTCTCTGACCTTTTTGTTGCTTTTCGAGTTTTCAATATATTCACAGTTTAGACGTTTGAGTCCGTTCAGGATCATCGGGCTCAATAAAGAAAAGTCTCATCAACCCAATTATTATTCAAACTAAAAAGAAAACGATCAATTAAATATCACCTAAAAATTATAGAGGTCATACCTATGGGAAAAACTACATTGAATAGAATAACTACCTTTTATCTTTGTTGATATGATTAACTAGCTATTGGATATCACGACATATTTTCACTCATATCAATGCATATTTACAACTGTAGTACACAAATTCGACAGGGAAAATGTTGAAATTTGAATTAGAGTAGACATAAAAAGGTTAAGGAGAACTTGTAAGAAACTTGGCACAGCAATCAATAGATAGATTGAAATAAACTCAATCTATCAATCAATGATGACTAACTGCTAGGTTGGAGATTAATTAATTTAAAGAAAAAGGGTAATTAAAATATCCATGAGATAACGACGGGAAAAGCTATGGAGAAGTGCTAATAGCTTATATTCTACTGAATTCATTGGTAATGATGTTATTTATAAAGGGAATGAAAGATTAGTGACTAAGTTGTAGTGTGGTTTCGAGTCGCGGTTGACTATGATCACCACTACAGGGAGACTACGTAGCAGTTAACCGATAAGATCCCCGTAAGCCAAATATCAGAAGGTAGTTGATGGTTGTAGTCGAGATGTAGTTGTTGGCGATCTCGTGGTATCGAAAGAATATCGAGATCGTGCCAAAGGAGTACAAGTGTGGTTACTGAGCGTAACCGAATTCGTGCAAGGTCACAACCAAAGGAAGGAAGAATGTCTTTTGTACAGTCAAACAAACAAGTACAGTAAAACGATCACTGGTACAATTGGTTATAATAATAATTGTTTCCATTAAACCAACCGCGTTCTCTTGATAAAAGTAAGTCACTACAAAGTCATCTAAATGATAGAAGACTCTGTTATTAAAATATCAAATAAGCTCTGGTAGTAAATGACTAGTAAGCAAATATAAAAAAAAATAAATATATACTGTTTCACAAGTTGAAATCATGAGCCAATTGAAGCTAGACCACCATGGAAAACCTGGAAGCACTGGACGGCCGTCTCGTCCTAGTATGGGACTCCTCAGCAGTGCGCATCCACGAACCCGCCCCCTGCGGGATTCGAACCCAGGACCTGCTGGCTTCGCGCGCGAGCACCTAACCATTAGACCACTGAGCCGGCATCCAACGGTGTTAATGTCTAACTTCAACCAATCCACGAAGTTGCGCCACCGTACACCATTTTCATCAGTGAGTTCCTATCTCACAACAGACCTGGTTGAACTCCACTGGTAACTGTTTGTTTGGATCATAGTGTATATGTAGTAAAAGAAAAAACAGACATAAAGCACTGTTTTTATTACTGGAAAGAACGTATTCATATAGAAGTTCACTTTTCATTATCTTTAATTGTTATCCTCTCCTTTCAGCGTAAATCTCAAAACCCATTATTTTCATTTGGACGAAAAAAATCTAAAGTTGGCTAACGCATTTAATGACTTTTCAATAATTATTCAATGAATAGGAAAAAAAACCCCAGAAAAGAATCCATTATTTGTATTGGGAATCAACTGTTTCATTATTCTAAAGAATCAAATTATTTGACATTACTGTGTGATTGTTATTACTTTTACTAGTATGTATGAATGTAAATAATTATTGATGCATAATCATATATTTTTTTGTTTAAATGAAGTGGATTTTATGGAGACTGTTTTAATTTATAGTATACGCCACTAAATTATCTTACTTGATGGTACTGCGCCCAAATGTCGTGATACGGCTGAGAGTGGGGAGAGTTAACTCTTCCTCTCGAAATGCTCTAATATGGCTACGTGCATACAACCACTGCTAGGGAAGTCCTACTCACTGCATTCTCGCGGCGGGGATGCTGTTTACGAAATTGAAAGGATGAAAAGCGAAACTCTGGCGCTTTAATCAAGTTGGTGGACACGGAGAGTCCACCTAGAGTAGTTGGAAAACTGTCATTCCAAACCAGTGGTGCACATGGGCTCCAGTATCCTGAAGGAAACAAATGGCGTATGAACCCGTTGTTGGTCACCGGCCACCATGGGACTGCATCTCCTGACGTTGCTCCACTGCCTTGTGGATTAGACTTTTAGGTCAAAGACTCCGGTTGTGGCCTTCTAAGAAAACCACCTATTTCGGTTTGGGCACCCGGGCAGTGTTCCAGCCCTCATACAAATCGAATGATTTATGTGGCGCATATCTGTTTGGTGCCTCCCTGTACCAATATTTATGTGTTTAAACAAATAAAATCGCTAACAAAACTAAGAAGTTCTGGATAGCCATCTCATAATAATATAATATTTGTCAACTGAAATCATTCTGTGATGAATATCACTACAATATTAAAACAATCCGCACAGGATGCATATATGCCAATATGAGACTAATCATTTACAGTCGTAAACATCGATAGGAATGAATTAAAACATCACCCCATTGCTCAAGCTAGTGGCTATCTGTACTGGATAGCTAGGTGGATAAGACGATGGCGTTTGAACCGAATGGTGCTGGGTTCGAGTTTCGGAGTAAACATCAACTCTGCGATGCAGGTACATCCAGATGACGAGTCTCAAATAGGACGAAACGCGTGTTTTAGATTCCATTGCTAGTCACCGTCATCTTTGCTTATAAAGTATGAAAAGAGTTCAAAATACATATACACTTGTAGGATTTATAAACATGTTAGTTCAAATATTTGAGAACTGTTAGTATAATTGATAGATTAGTTAAATCATTAGTTTTTTCGTTTATCATCAAAAGTTTAAAATCAGTATGTGTTATTAAGCTGTTTCTATTCGTGATATTAAACAATATACTCACATAAAATCTTGATTTTGGCGACTATCAGTATCATTAATTCCACTGTCAATATGTGACAACCTAATAAAATATCCAGTATATAATGTATTTTTAAATAATCATCTACAAGAGCATGCATACTGTGAAAGTATACAACAACTATGTAGCATGTAAGAACTAGTCAATATACAAAGAGTACTATCATTTCTATGATGAACTGTAGTTATCGAATGTTGATGATTACTTAAAATTGATATAAGATGAAGTTAAGTTTCATGCATTCGACAATGAGTATGATACATATATACATATATTTCGATTCAAAAAGATGTTTATTCGTAACATTGTTATAAAACATTGGCCGGAAGAAAATTAAGTTTATGAAATAAGTTATGAAGCAATAAGAGTACGTATATTATGTAGTATCTTTGACTTTCGTTCTGTGAATTCCGTAGATTGAGAGTATACCATCATGAGATCCAGTACATACCTATGGGTAAAAAAAGGAAAAGACTGCAATTCATGCTAAATTGTGATAATACTTTTGGTTTTTAAGCTTGTTTCAATTCTTCGTAGTGCTCCAACTAATGATACCTTCAAACAAGTGAGGAACTTAAGAACTTTTTAGTAGAGTTTTCTGAGAGCTGGACGGTTTGGTCGTGGAGCTTTCATTATTTTTCTGAACGACATCATAATCAGTATTTCAATGTAATTGTGTGAATAGAAGTGTTTGTAAGGATGTGGTATTCTGCATTGAGTTAATCTCACTGTTCTAAGAAACATATTATAGGAGTAAATCAAATCAGAATTCAAACCATGCCTTTTCCTAATAGACAACTTAATTTTTTATAGTACTGTAAGCTCAGATAATTGTGTTTCCTTTAACTCATTATGCAAAATACTCTTTATAGAAGTTATTCGTAATAATTTTAAGAATATACAGTAAGTAGATGTTATCATCAGATAAATGTACTGGTAAGTATTTCTTGTCGGGAGATAAAGCGATGGAGAAGATTCGCAGCTCAGGTGGGTGCTTTTCGTGGTGTTATTTTCAATGGACTGCATGGTTTAACAGAATATGGTTGTTGAGACTGTTAAGTTTTGAGTGAGATCATGAATCGATCAATGTTAGACCACCACTGAAAACTTGGTTTAATTCTTAAGCTTTCATTGTCATTCTTGACATCTTCAGAGTCTACTTCATGTAGAAGTGAGCCTTTCAGTTACTCCATAAACATTACATTAATTTGTTTCGATGGAATTGTTTGTGATCAACTGTTTTCGTATATTTTATCAGCATCCATTTTCGCATTCATATTGACTGTCTTGGTGCGTTGACTTCTGGCCTCTAGACTAACTGATCTTATCAAGGAATTTTTCGAAGCATGACATTGAGATAAATTATCAGTCAATAAGCACGTTGACATAGAGCGAGCCTGTTAGCTCATATTGAGGAGATCAGTCAATCATGACGAAGCGAATAATTCAATTACGAGTGAAAATTTGTTAACTTGGTTTCGAATTACATTCTAAATGTGAGAGATAATGTCACTACCAGATTGTTTAAATCGAATTATGTGAAGCGGGGTTCGAATCTACAAATAAATGGTTAAAAATTTAACACCCTAACCAATAAGCCACTGGTGTGGACGTTAACCGACAAAGACAATCAACATGAATGTAAAAATAGGTGGTGACAACAAAATATACAAAGACAGTCGATCACAAGCAATTCCATCAGAACAAACTGACGTAATGTTTATGTAATAACTGGAACACTCACTTCTACATGAATTAGACTCTGAAGGTGTCGAGAATGACAATGAAAACTTAACAGTTAAACCATGTACAGCTCGGAAAATAAAACAAACAGAAATATTGAAGTGTTAAGATTTTGAAATCGCGGTGTTTATCTGTGTTTCAAAATAAAAATACACAAAGGCTTCACTATGACTTAATTATAAACTCTTACTTCAGGCTTGGACGGATGCCAATCCACTACAGTAGCTGGGCTATTATTAATTCGCATTTCGTGGTTTAATATAGTCAGAGGATGTGAACAAGCTTTTCGTACATCATATATAACAGGTGATGATTGATTCACATCCATTGTACCTCCTACTAACAATTTTGTTCCACATGGACTAAACACTGCTGTTACAGGTGGAATAAGAGTATTTCTACTTGATCCACTTGAGTAGATTTCAGATGAAAGTTTGGCCAATTTCATTACAGGATGTCGACTTTCCCTAAGGTCCCATATTTGTACACAATCTTTTGGTGCCACTGTTGCATATACTGTATATCCCGTACCAAGTGTTGTAGTATTTTGTATTGAATCATTGAAGCTTGAATACAGCGATCCCTAAATATGAGATTTATATAGATTCAGTTTATGATAAAGTAACCAAAAAAATAGCAAAGAGTAATAGTGTCGGCAGTGATAAAAACAGCGAGTTAATTAGTCACATAGAAATAGGATATGATGAGTTTCAGATACACAGAATTTCGACCAGTTATCTGGTTTGGCTCAGGGCTGAAACATTGAGGTTTCCAGTAGTTTGTTAGAGTGTGATTCCTAGGTATCAGAAATAATAGTTCGTAAGTCCTATTTATGAACAGTGATTGTATATATGGAAGAGGACGAAGGTCAGGAAGCGTTGTCGACAAGACTAATAAGAAAGTGTTAAGATGGACTTAAGTTTTCCTGGAAGTGTGTGGTTGGTTAATACCATCCGGTTGACAACACAGTCGAAAGATATTTTTTGAGGACTTCATTCAGAAACTGGGTTGATAACATAGCTGCAGAATTTTATGAATGGCTGTTTGAACCTAACCATTCATCACCTTTATGCAAGTAGTGTTTACTTCTTTAGTTCTGTAATTTTCAAAGCATATTACCGTCTTTATAAAACTATAAGACTATGGGCGTGTGGTAGTTTTCAAGTTAACCTTATCTAAACACTTCCATTTCTAGGAAAACAAGATCGATGCAGATGTCCTTATCCGTGGAAAACAATCTGAATCCACTACGGCCCAGCATAACAAGAAGCTTGACTTCGCTCACGAACTTGAAGCGGTTTGCTTTTAGTTTCATCGTTAAACTGTGGACTCTCATGGTATAGTTAATGTATCAAAAGGTAAAGTGTTCTAATCAAAAGAATTTGGTTGGTTCATCACGTTAGGCAAACCTGACCGGCCGCTCTTGTTAAGGTAGCAACAACAACCTGAGAATAGATAGATATACTGAACCCTAGTTTCGGTAATATGGAAAATTCTATGTTTTTTGATTTAACTGTTTTTTTTTTCACTAGTATTTTATTGTATTTTGGTCAAGTGAATGATTCCAAAGAAAAATCTTGATAACAGAATATTTAGTAAAAGTCTAAGCCAAGTATTGTTTATTGAATGAATATGATGTTTACCTGATTTAATGCAATTCCTGTTATACACTTATTATGTGCAGATTGAATTTCCTGAATAACCTGTCCACAGTTTAAGTCTAAAATGGATAAACGTCGATCTGATCCGGCACACACCAACAAGTCTGTGATATTAAAGAAAATACAAAAAAAGTTTCACATGTTAAAAATAGGAGTAGGACTTTCACCCCCGTAAAAGTCTTTTTAGCAATGGTCACCAACGACCACATATATAGCGTTATTGATAATTCACTATTCCAACTACTGATTTCGTTAGTGTTTATCATCTGGTTTAATTTCGTAAGTAAAAAACTGGATGCTCAGAAAGATTCACTATCAAGCATATATAAGAAATATAAGGAGATTTCACAGTTTCTCAAAACAGATTTATATAACAAGTCACAAAAAGTAAACAAAGACAAGAAACAGTAAGACTACTTCTTGACAAACTAGTTTTCTTTTCCATTGTAACTAGTATTGTATGGATTAGAAAAAAATCTTATTATTAATTTCTAGCAATTTAAGCTCTATACATTAGATAGATGTATGGGGCAAAAACTTGGAGAACTACGAAAACCATCATCCAGAAAATACAGGTGTTTATTAGTAGTTGTCTACGCAAAATACTTCAGATTCGTTGGCCGGATAATATTAGCAACAACCTACTATGAAAGAGAACAAACCAGATCCCAGAGGAGGAAGAAATCAGGAAGAAGCACTGGAAGTGGATAGGACACACATTGGGGAAAGCACCCAACTGCGTCACAAGACAAACCCTCACATGGAATCTTCAAGGCCAAAGAACACATTACGCCGGGAAATGGAAATAGACATGAGAAAAATGAACAAGAATTGGATGGAACTAGAAAAGAAGGCCCATGACAGAGTGGGTTGGAGAATGCTGGTCTGCGGCCTATGCTCCATTAGGAGTAATAGGCGTAAGTAAGTACATTAGATAGAGTGTACATAGGGTAGGAAATATGTAAATCTAGAAACGTATTCCACTATAGGAAACTACTATGTAACATCTCATTTACGGAGATAATTTTTAAGATTGCTAATAATTGGTAGTTCGGTGACTAGAAAGTTATGTGAATAAGGTGCGTTATTCACCTATATATGCAAGTGCTAAATTCTTTGGTTCGAATGGTTTAATTTTATCATAACTCTTTAGTTGAGCTAAACTTATGGTGAAACACATCTTGAATTCTCCTCTCAGTTATGTCCTTTTTTATTCAATCATATATTAGATTAGTTGTAGGCTAAACAAAGAGATCTATGCATTTAGTTTAATTTACTATCTAATGGAAAATTGATAAAGTTTTATATTATTAACAATTAGTACTATTATAATCCAACTTTTATTTCGATAAACAACTTTCTAAGCAGGATGCTTACATGAATAGAAAATGTTTACAGATGCCACAGAAGTTAACTGATTACAAGTAGATATTCGAAATTCACCAACTAATTTATAACTGTTATTGGCACAACTTCTATAAATTAAAACAAGAATAAACAAACAGTTAAATGAAACCAATATGATGATTAGGTATTATTAAAAAAATGTAATGGAAAACCAGCATCTAATTTGATAGCTTACTTAGATACTTACGCCTGTTACCGCTCGTGAAAGAGCATAGGCCGCTCACCAACATTCTTTACCCAACTCTGTCCTGAGTAATCCTTTCCAGTTGCTATTTATCCTTTTCATGTCTGTTTCCGATTCCCGACTCAATGTGTTCTTTGGTCTTCCTTCCGGTGGATTGAATGGAGCTGGCCTATTCAAGAGTTCTTCGAAGTGTTCCACCCATCTGTTCCTTTGTACTTGAATCTTGGTGATTGTCTTGCATTCTTTGTCCTTGACTGGTCTCTCTGGTTTATTATATTTCCCTATCAGTTTCTTCGTTGTGTCATATAGTTGTTTCATATTTCCTCCTCATTCAGTTTTTCCCCCTGTCGTTGCTAGATGTCTTCCACATATTTCTGCTTGCCAACTCTAATGCTCCCCTTCACTTGCATGTTTGCCTTTGTGTATTCATAATTTGATAAGAATATATATATAACTTCATCACTAGGACTGAGATTTAGTGTTATTAATTTTACTACTCTTTACTTGATCTGCCTGGTACGGTGAGATCTTGAGGAACAAGTATCCCAGACAGTACATCTCAGTAAGCTCATCACAATGGTTAAACACAGTTGTCACATCATAGTAATAGTTAGCCGAGGAAGTGACAAGTAAAAACAGAAGATCCTTGGTTGTTTTGTCAGCTTCACTTCCAACTCCGGTTGACCTTGACCCTTTCTAGTCTCTATTATTACAGTAGGATTATATCAACCAAGCACTAGTGTGACCAATAGACTAATTGATTAGAGATATCATGCCGCTTTTTGTTTGAAATTCGATAACCGGTGGACATTGATATGAAACACTTAAGCTTCATGCTAGTTGGTACATGTCAGCAATGTAAGTATTCGGTTTCAGCTCAGTTTCTGACGTAGAACGTAGAACTCTCAAGTCTCAGGGTAAGCGCTGGCATCTAGTACTTTAGATATCTAAATCTAATCAACTTTGGACATTCTGTAACTATTTTTCAACGCCATTCATGGCAGTTACCGCCTCGTATCTTAAATGGTTGTCCAGCATTAGCTCATTTTTAATAGTTATCTAAACAAAACCGATCTGTTATATAAACTATGAAGTTCAAAGACTTCCATAACTTCTCTACAATAATATCATTGTGATTAACGTACATAATTACTGGTTAACACAATAAAATAAGATCACTAATAATTCAGTCAGTCAGTCAGCTACAACGAAGGACCAGGCACATACATGCATCAGTCCAAGTTGCCATACCTCATTAACACAGCAAGATAAACACCGAATCTATAGAACTAGTTAATTCAGAGGTGGCAATATATAAAAGAAAGATTGCAATAAGGATATAGTACAGGAAGAAAGAATTAGTTCGTAGAAAAAAAGATATAAAGCGATTTTAATCTCTTAGTTTAAGGGAAGACAGAGAGTGTATACACCGACGCCATTGTGATCGATTCTGAGCCATGTCACCAAGAGTCTCCAACCATTGGTTACGATAGTCATGCGGACTCCAACCAAGTAATCTGCATCTAAAAACATGGCTCAGACTAGAAGTTAGTGACTTCAAGCACTGATGTCACGTTTTGGTTTGGCCGCCCCTAAATTTCTTCCAACCATCTCCAACACTAATAATTAAATATTGTTGAACTTACTTTTTTAGAATATTCTCATTATTTGACAATGTATATGTGTATAAACGTATTATATTTTTACTAATCAAATATACAAATGAATCCATGTAATAAAAGTTTCCAATGGATATATTATCTTCAAATGGTACATAACCATAAGTATTCTTCTTCTAGAATAGATAAAAAAGAAAGAGAAGGTGAATCTTACATTTTATTCATTCAAATAAAAGTATATAGAATTTATATGATATTTGATCAGATTGAACGAATTGTTGTCATTGTTTATTATTACACAATCTTCCAATCAATCACATTAACTACTAATGAAATGATGATTGTCAGTTAGTGTTATAACGGTTGGTTTTCCACGTTTCCACGTATGGGACGCTAATTTGCCTTAGACGAATATCTAAACTAGATTCCCTTCCCTGTGTCTATTTTACAGGACTTCAACAAAACTCAGATGATCAAGAACACATGATTAGCCTGACCACAAGGTAAATATATATTTCCATACCAAAACCCGACACAATCCAACAAGAACGAACAATCAATAATAAGTGAGTAATAATAATAAGGACAGGGGAATATATAATTCATCTGACACCTGTCAGACTATCTACCAATCATTATCATTCTCGCCTACACATCAGTTAGTGTAGTAGAAATTTAAAAGTCAATGAGAAGATAGTGATGATAATCGTTAAAATCATTTGTATGTTTTGCAGTACTACAACGTAATGATGTTTATATTTTGTTGAATGAAAAATGTTTGAACATAAGAACTGAAATAATCAATGATGTTGACCAGTTATTTTACGATATAAATCAGACATGAAGGGTATGTGACTAAAGGAGTCTTAACAGTGAATTTGATTATTGATGTCAACGAAGCATTGTTCATGTACGGTCGGATCGCCGAGTGATTATTCTTACGGTTTAAAACAGCGTTTTTTTTGTACAGATTATAGATCGATTGAAGAGTTTGTGAAGTTTTATCATCTTTGGTGGTTAAGACATATGTCAAGCACGTTTTACTACCACCCATCTGGACGCTCTCTATTGGATTGCACAAGAGTTAGGTGTGTGAGAAAAGAATGGTCTTGATGGAGTTTTGTTCTCTTCTCATCGTTCTTCTGAACGATGAAAGCCCCACGATCAAAACATCCAGTTCAGAGGACAAAGCTCCATCAAAATCATGCACCTGAGCTACAAATCTTTTCCACCATCTCAAAATCATATAAGCGCAGTACGCTTCTCGTTGTTCGAAAGTGGGAGGATTACACCAAAAGGCAGGCTTCTACTCAAGAACAATTGTATTTTCTCCACGAGTGTCTTCGTCAGCATGTTCTAAGAATAAGTATAAGATACAGACCTCCAATGAATTGCTCATCGGAATGGAGAATAGCTGAGCAAAGTGGAAGAAAAATGGTACACATAAAGAACGGTCAAACTAAGTTGTAGTGTAAATCCACGTAGTTATTTACCGTTGAAGTAAGATATTTCAAAGATGTCGGCTTTTCAGAGTAGGCCAGAAATATAACCAACTTGGAGAGATTAAAATGTTTTGGGCAGTTTTTAAATGCTCAGTCATTCACGATTTACGTATATTTCAGATGTGAAATAAACAAAGCTTCAAAATTATCATCACTGATCCTGGTATCTCAAATGATGAGGTGATTCACTTTCAGTGATGTGGATTAGATAGATGTTTGAGATGGTGGAGAAGATTTGTAGCTCAGGTGGATGATTTTGGTGGAGTTTTGTTCTCTGAACTGGATGGTTTGGCCGTGGAGCTTTCATCGTTCTTCTGGACGAAATCATCACCACAAACTTCAAATAGAAGATAGATATACGTTTATAACGGATGAGTTGTTTTCTCACTTCAAATCTACAAATACAGTATTTAATCATTCCACTTTGGGATATTGTTCATATTTTGTCTGATTGAGAATGGTAACTGGTGAATTTTTCTTTTTTAATTTCCCCGCTTAGATTTTGAAGCATAACAGGAGTTTGTTTAGATCTTGTTAAGGTTAACTAGTGTATTCGATTTATAGCTGGTGAAAGTAAGATGTGATTTGTCACTGAGCGTAAATTGACACGCACAGTTTACCGACTATTTAATCTGTGATTCTCTTTCCCATTACTGATTTGTACTCTGAAATTATCGAGCATAAACTGCTTGTAATTGTGTTTAATAAAGTACTGAGTAAACTATTTCCTGGTTTTCGATATTTGCTTGTGAATCGTGTATTTGTTGTAACGTGATCCAGAGTGTGTATAGGGGGTATCGATTGAGTATTCATTCTGGTGGTAGTGAGATCTCGATCACTGGTCGTAAAAGCGTAGAATAGTAGTTAAAGCAAAAAATATATTTATTTGTCTGTTATAATAGTATTATTTTCAGGTATTTTTCACTATTTCAACGAAGAACTGAGCAAAACAGGAGTATATTAACGAAATTTTATATTATTTTTCTGTGAATGACTTTGCCATAAATCTATAGGTTACTTCGTATCTTTCTCCAAAAAGTCACAAGTTAGAGAAACCATAAGGAATTTAAGAAATATTAAATGTTATAGTTTGCGTCACGGATTGACTTTAGTCAAACAAACATAAAAATCAAGAAGTACTGGACGAGTGTTTCGTCTTAGCTTGGAAAAGAGAGAGGCAGTTCTCGGAGTTATAGTGAGTAGCTATAATCAGTAGAAATCAATCGTATTCAGCAACAGATATTACCAATAAAAGTGGATAATAATCGTGTAACGTCAATAATAGATTGAAGTTGGGAATGTGAACCATGAGATGATGGCTCAGTGATCTAAAGTCTAAGCGCTTGCTCGAACCTGAAGGTCCTAGGATAGACCTCATATGGAATGGTACTATAGTGATCCCTATACTAAGGTGAACCAGTTGTTTAGTGATTCCTAGTTTTCAGTGGTTGCTTAGTCAGTCTGTAATATGAACTGTAAACTGGATTTTTAAAATCTATTCTGTCATTTTTAAGTTAACCTACCATACATAAATCAATATATAAAATAGTTGGTTATTAAAATTTTTTGCGGTTTTGTAGCAAATTTTCTGTTAGAAAAAATAAAAACTAACAGACCTTCAGGCTAACTTTTTCTCCGTAATCATTTGTGGCTCCTTTGTGTATTGATCGAATATAAGTTGAGTTACTGACCCGATTTTAGTAGTCACGTTTTTTATTCAATCCTTTTACACCTATTCTCCAAATACGCGCAGTTCGGTCCGATGAACAAGTTAGCAACAAACAACTATCCGTCGACCAAGAAGCCCAGAGAATAGGACCTAAATGGCCACGTAGTGCTTCAGCTGAAGGAAATAACTTCTTTCGTTTTTCTTCCAATGTGTTTTGATCACGTCGAGTAATCAGACAAATCCCATTACCCAAACATGATGCCAAGCTACTGCCATTAGCTTTAACATTAAGTAAATGAGAGGTGAAAGATCGAAATGTGCTATCGTTTCGGACTGAAAATTGACAAAAGCTGAAGAGTACTAATTCAATTTTTAATGGTTTGGGTTATTCCATTGTTGATATTTCGACTAGAATTTAGTAAGTCTTGTTTGGAATACGTACATCTTGTGTAGATTGTTTCAATATAGTCATTGACACGTTTGTATAGAATAGAAGGAATGAAGCTAGCAGTGGATTGCAAGATGGGTTCTTATTAGTGACTTGTGCCTGCAACCCAGAATTGATGTACTTTCCGGGACTCAACCCAGTACCGTTCAATTCAAACGTCTCGGAAGCAAACCCAATCGATGTGTCGGAACATGGATTTCACTGCTAGCTACAACCCATCTATTATATAAACTTAAAGAGTATGTTAGGGAAAAAACCACCTGGAGTTCTCGGGTCATAACCGGTCCCAAGAACGGATAAAACTTTGGGGATGGGTTCAGCAACTTCATTCCGTAGAAGGGTGCCTCTCTAGAAAAACGCTAACTTGAGAGAAAGAAGGGTCGTACCATACTTGTTTATGATGAGGAAACGAGAATTCGAGTAACACTAATCAACAATCATCTACTTCTTGTAGATGGGAGTAATTAATCAAAGCAAAATATGTCGACCAGTCATAGATAACCTAAGATCTGCCACGAATGTTTATCTAATAAGGTTGCTACACATATCTGTATAACGAACAAGAAAACTAATAATATAAGAAATAGAGTGAGCAATAATATCACTTAGTCATATACATTGTATATACACATATATTAAAGTTGTAACACAATATCAGCGCAGTGACGTGAACTTATCAAGATAAATGCCAGAGTAGAAGAGAAAGTACAGTATCAGGGGTAGTAGGAAAGACTAGAAGTAGACCATATAATTTGAGAATAATGAGTTTAGGAATAAAGAATATACATATTTTAAGACAAAGGATTAATGTATCTTTGCCATTGAGATCTATTCTGAGTTGTGTAACACTTCGTGTCTAGCCACTGATCACAGTTATCACGAGAACCTTACCCAGGTAGTCTGGACCTACCAAGATGGTTCAGTCTAACAGTTAGTGACTTCATGGACTGGCAACACGTCTTGGTTTGGTTTCCACTCGCTTTCTTTGAACCTGCTGCTACTACACCAGCGAACCGCATTGAAAAATTAAGCAAGAGATATACAGTTGACAGAGAGGAAAAATGAGATTAGAAAATGAGAAGTATAGAATAAAACTATATATTAGAATTTCCAAAGATCGAAAGTGAATAAGGCCGTGTGACTGCAGTTGATTTCACGCTATATCATCCGACGTGTTCAGTTATAGGTCACACTTATTGCTATGGTTTTAAGAAGTACGTGAGAATCATAAATACAGAAACGACAACAATTAAAGTTGAATATCCGCTCGGAGTATGAGACAAAGCTACTAACTGTCGATCATAGTAATACCATGTAATCTGAACATTAGGTACCAAGCATATGATAGATACACTTACAACTAAACGGTTGTCTTGATCTTTTAGATATCTGACTACCAAATCCTGATGCTTAGTTGATATTGCTATAATAACAGATGATAATAATAATAATAATAATAATAATAATAATAATAATAATAATAATAATCATGTTTTGTCGATTCTCTCGACATTTGTGACAACTGTTATAATGAATATGGAGATAACGAACTGATCTATGTTAGACAGTTATTGAAAACCTGTAAGTACCAGACAACCATTTCTTCCTAGTACAGGTCTTTTCAACAATGGACATCCACGATCCCTTCACCGGAAATCGCACCCAAAACAGGCCCTGCACCCCAACACCTTAACTTCCAGATCTTCGGGTCAAGATTCAGTGGCGTACAAGTCTAAATTCAATCAGTCTGTGATATTGCTTAACCACAACCCTTTGTCTTCGATGGGTACATTTTCTAACATCCGGCACGGTTGAAGTCTACAACCCTCGTACTGTAATAATATATCTAGATACAAATTATTGTTTGAAAATGTTGCACAAAATAATCTTCATATAATATTTTTCCGCTTGACTGTGTTTATTAGTTGAAATTACACTTAGTTTTCAAGTAAATTACTCACGCGAATAGGCAACTTTATAGATTGGTGTAGTACAAGAGTCGACATATCCACTTATTTGGAGAACATTTGGAAGTTCATCAGTATTCGGATAAGATTTGGTTAGTTTTCTGTTTTGAGTAAAAGAAATATAGAGAAATTGTACATTTTGTAAACTATACAGAACAATATACTTTTATGAAGAACAGCATTTTGAAGTGATTATAATGGGATTGAAATAAATTGAATGTCTTCAGTGAAAAACAAAATGTTTTGTTTAATTTAAAAGTTTTTTTCAACATCATCTCAATTTCTATGTAGAATGAATTGTGTCGGGTAAATGAGGAGATATAAGATTACAAATCGCGACAGTGGTTTAAATTTGACAACAAATGATAGATGAATTGACTCTATTTAAAATTAGTTACTTAATTCTCAATGACATGAACAATATCGAAATTTATAATCAGTTCATCTAGTATTATATCTGGTACCTAGATGCGCCATATTGACTTTCTAACCACATTTTGGTCCCCCGAGAAATATCCCACACTCAAGACCAAAACAGAAGACCAAATGCCAAAAAAATGGACGGGAGCTTTGTTTACAATGTCAAATTAGGTATATAACACAAGGATATATACATGGTTGTGTAACATTGGTGTTCGAGAAGCTTCCGAAAACATGCTAAATTTAATAACAAGGTCGATAACTATCCAATCAGAACATAACAAGGTCTCTAGGAAATTCTCATTCAACGCTGATTTTCAACTTTTCCTCAGCTTCTGAAGATTTTGACGGGGAGTCCTCGAGGGTTCCAATACTAAAAAGGTATATTTATCATACAATAACTGATATGACAGGATAAGATGACATTGTGTGGGTCAATATTTTTTGTATGATTCCTAGCCAGGGTGACAAGTGAGAACTTTGTTCAGTGTAACATTTTGAGATCAATATTTTCTGATATCAATTCGGTACAAACTCTGTTCTATACGGCAAGTGTGAACTCTCGTTCATTGTGACACCTTTATTCATTGTATTGATAGTCAGATGAACTATATTTATTGTTTTTTTTATCTAGTAACTGTAACTATTCTCGCCACATGTGATGCCACAAAGGGTGCTTGAAATGTGGTATATAAATGATTGTATTGTAGGCTAATGATGATATGATTTTGGACTTGTTTTTAAGGAGTCAATAGATTTTCATTTCACCAGTTTTTCATGTTCTCACTTTGCATTGTGGGAACCGTAATGGTCTCCGTTTACCAGTATAAGCGGTGAAATCGAGGGATTGGAGTGGTTTCTGATCGTTAAGTAGAAGCAATAAGGATGGGGACTCGACAGAGTTGATAAGTTAATAGCAGTGACAATTCATCAAATATAAGTTTGTTACCCAATTACAACAGTGCCGACAAACCCAATTTACTAGTCATATTAGTAGCGATTCTGGGATATAACAGTAACATCATTTGAAGACGAGGAGTCGCTTGATAGTTCTGGCCTAATAATTCCAAGTCATAGCTTATGAAGCTAACTAAGCTGGAATTTTGATTATTATCTACCGATAATATTGGATTGTAGAGACTTTATGCTCCAAATTGTCTGTAGTTAAACTTCGAAATTTCAGTATAAATGGTTATTAGTATCTTGTTCTTTAGAAAATCTGGACGTATTATTGAGTTTGTGCGTGAGCTTCCAATTAATCTAAACTATAAAAATAGCTGTCCAGTTCTAACTAGTTCTTAATAGTTTGCCAACTTGCGAAGTATTGTTATGGAACAGATTTTATCCATAGTTTATTCATTACAACAATCAAGACACATGCGAAATTGGAGATGGGTAATATCGATTTCTTTTATACATTAATTCTTTTGTATCAAAATTCATTAAGAAGATAATAAACTCATAACTTCATTTTAATGACTAGTAACAGAGGACTAAAAAAAGGAGAAAACTTACTTAAGCTTCCCTTCATTCCCTAAGTTTAAAGTATTTCTTTGTTTTGAACGTTCATAAATCAAAGGATGAAACATTTTACGCCTAAAAGAAGAAGTTTTACCGTTATATCTCAATCATCTTTTAATTGTTTAGTATTTAAATAAATGTTTATATTTAAGTACTCCCTTTTTACGAAAACTGTTCAAGAGGAATTATTGTCGTATGTAGAAAAGTTCAACTAAACAATCTTAGTTAAAATCCATAAAAACAGACAGCAGTCAAATCTAACTTGAGTCTATTATTTGCAGTTAAAATATCCAAACATTGCCTACTTCAATGTGTACTATATGTATGTGTAGAAGTAGGTTGGAAGAAAACTAGGAGTGGCCCAATCTAAAACGTAGCCTCAATCTATGAAATCAATAACTGTCAGATTGAACAATGTTTGTAGATGCAAACTACTAGGTTGAGATTCAAGTGATTATTGTAATCGGTAGTTGAAAACGTTGGATGATATAAAACACAATCAATCGAAATGATGAAAATACCTACGGTGTATGTGAAAACTGATCATTTGTATTTTTCATAGTCAGAAATCTTTGTATAATATTGTCATTTTTTGTTGAGATGATATAAACAGATACTGATTATAGCTCGATGCAAGCACGCAAGATAAATACTGTCGGCAGATTTAGATTTATTTCACCATTGAAATACAAAACGTTCGGTGACAAAAATGATAAATCTTCTGATTAACTGCTTGAATCGGTTTCTTAAGCTCTTCTGATAACCTCAGGCTAAATTTATACAACTTGAACATGAGAGAAAAGGAATGTATTATGGAAATAACGCTTTACTTCAAGGTTAGTTTATGTACAAAGAACTAGTGTATTTATAGCACTACAGATGGTCTTGGGCTTCTGGAACCCTGCCAAACATAGTAGCACGACAGACAATCATTCAATCAGAAATGTGACACGTGACGCGTTACTTCCTAGATGCTCCTGAGAGACATCTTCCCAATGATGATTGGGTAAAATGTTTTTCAGAGTTTTCAGGGACACTTTTGGCTTTTCCCGAAAGATTTTCTGGGCTTCCCCAACAAGCAAACACACTTATTTGTGTAGTTTTCGTGCACTGATTTTTTACGAACAAATCTCACATTAAATCAAATTTCTTACAAAGTAGGGGGTGTCATACTGGATTAGTACATGACCTCACTCTTAATTCATTACTAACACCTATCTCTTTTATAAAAAATAGGTCCTGAGTATACATGGTTAAAAGATATAGACGTGATATGACCATTTATAAGGAAGTATGTTGGAAGAATGGTCAGGACGGTTAAACCATTACTTAGCATCATTCGACGAAGTCATTGACTGTTGAACTGAACTGTGTCAAGAGAAATAGACTTCCAGATCGTCTCAAAATTAGTTGCAATGGGCAAACGTATTGTTTTATCCCTCTTTAAATTGTGAGTTTTAGTGTGATTTCATAACTTTTATCCTTAATTTGAGGTGTTCTTTTCAAACCATATGTTTAGCTAGCTAGTATTATAGGTATTGTTATTTCCGCTTGGCTATTTTTAATTTGGTTAATGTGCTTATGTATAGTGTGATAATTTTTGGCCGATACAAATACACACCTGGTTCTATTTTATTTCTGATTGGCCACTATAGGAAATATTGCGAGCGATAATAAGACTTACATTGGTTCTTGTTTTGCATAACCAGAAGATTTGATTTTATGTCCAAATGTGACTGGTTTGTCTAATGTTTTATTTAATGTTGAAAATTGACTTTTATTTCTGTTACTGACATTATTTTGAAAGAGCTGATGTTCGTTGCAAGTATTCAACACGGAATTCGTTAACAGATCATATCTGTAAATAATGATGTATATAAAAAATACCTCATGGAGGAAGGAAACTTGTTTCTGGAATATGTTTTGGCAATACAAGCATAAAACGCAGTTGATATTATAGACTAGGTTTTACTAAGCAGCCATGCAAAACCAACAGTTACTAGAAAACTGGTTCGTTTTAGTTTGGGACCCATATCAGTGGGCACCAACGACCCGTTAGATGTTGAATCAACATTTTCAGGCCCAGTGACTAGAAGGTCACATTTAGACTACTGAATTAGTATCCAATAATCTAAATTTATGATAATAGTCAATTCGTAAAGTGGTGTATGGTCTTCGTCCATGGTTATTGATGATATATGTCCCACGTTAGACGTAACTGGACTCCATTAGTTAGTGTAGTATCGTGGCGTGTGCTACTTGTGTCGATATAAGTAGTATATAACGTTAATAATAGAATGCCTGGCTGCAGAAGGATGATAAAATCGAAGAGGAAAGAAAGGGAATAGAAAGTAATTGGTATGGAGGTGAAGGATAATGAAGTGTGAGAGAATTAATGAACATTTTGCAAATGAAGTATTGGAGTATGGTTCTTACATTTTACCAAGTAACTGTAATTTTGTGCTAAATATAACCTGTTGTCCTCGCCTGTGTTCTCATTCACTACTGTATCAAGTGCGATTATACTAATGGGACTATATGAAATCTGACGTGATGAATGTAGTATTTGATGTTATTACGCTGAATTTTCCTGTCTACACGAATGGTAGGTTAATTTACGTTAGATGGATGTTTGCACTAGATATCCTTCTAGTGTCTATTGTACAGGACTTCAACATACTCAAATCAAGAGCACGTGACTAGTTTGACTAGAACGTAAGTATATTTCCACACCAAAAACCAACAACAAAACCAATAATAATAAGGGTAGGAAAATATATAATTCATCTAATGCATGTCAGACTAGCTACTGGTCTGATTAAATAAAGAACCATTATTTTTCTCACCCACACATCAATTAATGAAGATGGCCTTCTATAAAAATAGCTCTGAAAACTTAAGCCGCACATTTGAAAACAGTTTCTTTTACTCAGTTAGTTACAAATATGAGTGTTTTACGACAAATAGAATTTCGAAACGACACTGGGCTCAGGTACATGACTGTATGATGATGTTCTTCAGAACAACGATTAGAATGACAAAATTAAACTGTTCACCTCAGAGAATATAAACATTCACAACGGTAAGTGTTTGGATCTTCCTGTTGTTGATGCTGTAGACTACAATTAATCAGCCTCTTTCGGCATACTTGCATCTTATGTGGATCGCTTCAACACTGTCATATAGTTGCAAGTCTTAAAGTTGGAACAATGGATAGCAGTGTAATCAGGGACGCGAGTTTCGTTCGATTTGTGGCTCATCGGACAGTATATCCAACTGGTGAGTCTCAAATAGGTTGAGACACTCGTCCTGGATCCAACTGCTAGCTACTATTCCAATTTTAATTAAAAAAGAACTGTTGTCGAGCAACATGAATTTTGAGTGTTTCGTTCTCTGAGCTGGATGGTTTAGTCGTGAAACCTTAAGTGTCCTTCTTGACAACATCAGCAAGATGAAAAACTTAATCATCAAATGACACCAAAACAGTTAAATTACTTGGCAATAAATGATAGATATGGAGAACTGTTTGAAATATTTTCATATACATTTGTTGCAGAAACATTTTCCAACGGAATGGTAAAAAATCCAACAGAGTCATTCTTACCACGAATCCAAAAGTTTACAGCACTCTTGGAAAATAAAACGGAAGAAATAAATCAAGTTTATATAAATCAATGGAACTTTTTCCACAGGATGATTTAAAAGATGGTTACGTGTAACTGTTAAAACAGCTTTATTGGTGATAAGTATCAAACAAGTAACTAAGATAACACTCAAGAGTATTTTTTACGAGAAGACTAAAGTCAGTCAGCGTTTTGTGGGTTGTACTCAAAGTCTAGAAAACCTTTTGACCAAATATAGATGGGTAATGTTGTTAACTTGGATGAAGACCTTGATATTACACTATACAGTCAATTATTTATGGACAAATCTAAATTTGTATCCAGTACTAAAGAATCATATGGAACGTACCAACCGGGAAGCCTAAAGATCATCTGTTTAGCGCTAAATGCTGGTAAAATTAACAGCGTAAAGTTCAGCAGTTATCGTATTATTCTCCGATTAGTAATAATTTGTCAGTTCTGCTAATTGTTGAACGATTATTTCATTTATAATTCTAAAATTGAAGAAGGAAGAAAGCATAGTGACAACGGAAATACTAGACAGAAAAATGTATGTCGATTGTCGAATCCATTAAGATGAATCTACCGCATTTTATGGAGCTAATGAAACAAGGTACGATGCTAGCATTCAACTGTGTTCCATAAATAAAACAAAAAGCACCCATACTGGTGTATGATAAAAAGTGATATAAACTGACAGGAGTCTTTCAAAAGTTTTGAGTGATAATGTTTCGGATGGATTTTCTTCTCTATATGCAAGATGTTGTTCAAAATTGATATATATCAATGTCCAGTACAAACATAAAAAGTGATTAGGTTGAGAAAAGCAGGAACTTCGCTTTTTCTGGTAGTCATATCAGCCACCTTAACTTGTCGGTTGACGACAAAACCATGGCATGAATGCGTGAGCTCTCTTGATATTTGGTGGCTTTCATAACCTTATAGCACGAGAGAGATACCCGTTTGTCATACAAATAACGAGTATATTGTATCTTAATTCACTGCTTTCCTCTACAAGTGGGAAACAACCTATGATAGTAGAACAAACAAAGTTTAAAAATAACTAGTAACGAATATTTTTGAAGCACTAATCGTACATGAAGGGACTAGTGAGTGATGCTGAGGTTAGATGTAAGTTCTTAAGTACAAATGGCATGTCTGTTGATAAATTTGAACATTCATTTACTGTCAGTCAGCTACAACGTAGGACAGGCACATGTATGCATCGGCCCAGGTTGCCATACCTCATTAGCACAGCAAGATGAGCACCGGATTCATAGAGTGGTTAGGTCAAAGGTGGTAATATATAGGAGAAAGATTGCAATAAGGATATAGTATAGGAAGAAAGAATTAGTTCGTAGAAAGAAAGATGTGAAGTGATCTTAATCTCTTAGTTTAAGAGAAGACAGAGAGTGTATACACCGACGCCATTGTGATCGATTCTGAGCCATGTCACCAAGGGTCTCCAACCATTGGTTACGAAAGTCACGCGGACCCAACCAAGTAGTCTGCATCTACCAACATGGCTCAGACTAGAAGTTAGTGACTTCAGGCACTGATGCCACGTTTTGGTTTGGCCGCCCCTAACTTTCTTCAACCATCCCCTACACCGGTTAGCATTGCACGTCGCGGTAATCGGTGTTCAGGCATACGTAACACGTGGCCCAACCATCTCAGTCGATGAAGATTCATAACCTCATCAACTGATTTACCATCATTTACTGAGGTGTCCATGACATCTATGAGGGATTTCTGGTCATCAGTTACTGTGAAGTTTAGTTCTGATTAAAATGAATTCTATTGGCAGATTGACAGGGGAAGTCAGATCAATAAATGACATCAGTTTTTAAAGTTTTTGAATATCGGCTTAATGAGAAATGTACTTTTTTGTCAGACCATAATTTATAGCTAGAGACCTCTGGTAGTTTGATTTGCAAAAAGTCACCTTTGAGTACATACTTCATTTTCTATCCTTCGTTAATATCAAAATACATACTTTCTTAATTATAGTTTTATTTATTTATTTTGGACTAATCTTCTCAAGTTCAGTTCGTCATTGTTATAGCTCCTAATAATTTGACTCTTTTGACCTTCACGTGGTTAATTTTGTTACAATGTACTGATGAGAAGTGTGGTAATTTGACCTAATACCTATTTTTGCCAGACAACATGTTTTCTAAACCTACATTACTAACAAATAATGAGGCTCGGGAAATAGAACTAGTGTGTAATTATAATGCAGTATCCCACCCTCTAGATCTGTAAAATACACAAAATATGGTTCATAGGTTTTCAAGCTTATTTTCTTAACATACTTAGAGTGGACAGGCAAAAGCTTCTAGGCTTTTTAGATGACGGGATTTCATTTTTGAAATAAGGCACTTTTTAGGAGTTACTTACTGAAGTACTAGTAATTTCTGCATTGTATATGTAGTTCCAGTTAGAAAGCTTAAGATCCATCCAACTCCAGCTAGCCATAACATTATGATTAGACATATCCAGTATGTATAATCTAGCGCGTGACAGGATGATTGATAAAGTGAATCTCAGTCCAGAAGTCCTTAAAAAGAGAATTATTTGGTATTTGACAAGTTGGAAATACTATGAGATCAGAAAGAGGTGGAGAATAAGTGATTATTAATGAGTAGATTATGAAAACGGATTCGAAACTTTACAAAACATTTCTTGCAATGAACATGATTTCGTTTTGGTTGATTTTTGGTGAGCATACGGTGGTAAGTCAGAAAACCAAGCAAACGCCAATACTGAATTATACCGTTATGATCAAAATTTTTCTGTTAACAATTAAAAGATTTACCTAAAAAATATAATGTTCAATCATATACTCAAAATGGTATTCAGGTCTTCAATAGTTTATTATTCGGAAATTCAAACTATAGATCTCTATGCAACTTGAAATATATTTAGGGATCATTTAGTCATAACCAATTAAGTCATTAGTTTGGCCTAATTTTAAGAAGCTCATGTATTCTTGCAATAATGATGTCGAACATCATGAAGCTTTAACAGTTTAGTGGGCCGTTGATATGACTGAAATTTGAATGAACGAATATGCTATGAACATAAATCTTCCGTTTAATTCCGTATAATACACTTAGGTTAACTCTGTTTGAGCGACAGGGGCAATTAGATGCCAAATACAGATTGAGCTTGGCGAGTTTAATTCATCTATTCGATTACTCAAATAGACATTAAGATGAGAAGTAGAAAAGCGAAGCGAATTGAAGAGAGAAAGAATACCATCTCACTTTGATATGACGCGACCTACTATTTATAGCTAGACAAAAATAAGCTAAGGGTATGTGGTGATTAGGGTGCACGATACATACATACGCCCAGATAAAAGCACGTAAGGTTATAGGCGAATGACTGGTAAGGTCAAAATATGACTGAAGGAGAATAAATTAATTAGTATTCCCGAAAGCTAGAATAACCTATGTGGCCGTGATATACTATTTGAAAATACAGCATCTACAACTTGAATTTAAAATATAGTGAATGTAGTTGTGGAGAGTGGATTAAGTCATTGAGGGTCCAAAGTGAGATCGTTGGTGCGAATCAGCATTATTTTCGACTACAGATACATACTAACCTATATTTTAAAACGTTAACAACATTTGAAGTAACTTATCTGCCTGATCCATTAATAATACCTTAGGTTCAATAACCAACCGACATTACTTACATGAGTATCACAGGAGGAAATTATACTGCTGTTGAGATGGATGGGGATGAGTTTAGGCTCATAACAGACATCCATGAATGTATGAATTTATAGGGAGTTAGGAATAAATTATTTGAAAAAAAGTGTTGTTTGTAAAATAAATGTTATGAAAAGTCAAAATGTCAAGCGTACCTAGGTACATCATTGTCAGAGTGAAGAGATATCAAATCCACTGTTGTGAAGGCAACTATTTCATTTGAAAACTCTATAGAAATAGATGGATTAAAGGCGGCAATTTTTGACCATGACGGCCTTTCACTTGCTAAAACACGTATAAAGTATGAAATTTAGCATTACTTGGGTGGATAACCGAACTAGTCTGTCGGAGTCCAACCCCATTATTGACTACAGGCTCAGGAAGTGCGCACAACTGAATGCATTGGAAAGAATGAGGGCAGAAAGATAAGATCTAAGTTTTTATTTATGGATACAAAAGCCTTACCTGGCCATCTTTTGTGCCTAGCGGAATACAATTATTGATCAAACTCGAACTGAATGCAGTGATTTTTTGGGGACTTATAGCATGTATTAGTTTGCAAGCGTGTACATCCCAAATTCTGCACGAAAGGTCATCAATAAGTACGAAAGCATATTGTGGAATAGAGTTATGAAAATCGATGTCTTTAATATTGGCTGATTGCAATCCCATTGACACTACAATGTTTTGAGTTTCCTGGAAAGATTATTCAGAAGAAAAGGAAACCTTGAGATGCCATGCTTTCAAGTGCTTTTCATCACCAATAACAACGCAAGAGAAAGATGGATCGATTCGTAGAACAGGAGGGCTTCGTGATACATATTCAATGAACTCTCTACAAAAATGTATAGAAGAGGATAATTTCAAAACTGACATCCTTTTTGGATACTTTAATGACGTGTGTGAGAACTGGAGAATTTCCAAAGCTTCAGCATTTGCGAGAACAATAACTACATCGGAACAGATCACTTGAACTTTGAGAAAAATTACGGAAGAACTAGATTTGTAAATAGAATGAAACTTATTAAATCATAGTAATGTCAGTGTCAAGCAAACTCACTGATGGCAAGTCACAAATAAAACCAGTGCAAATTTTATCGAGAGCCGTTGTTGACGTATAACATACGACGTTCTCTACAATATCAACTAAACAGAGTCCGCTAGCAGCGAAAAATTGTAAACACGGAGACTGAGAAACTGGCATTACAATGTGTTCAGTTTCAAACTGACACTGTCAACAGTTGCTAAGACAAACACTGCAGTGTTCAATAGCAGTTTAATTTTTAAAACAACAGGAGTCTATGTGACCTGTGCTAGTCTTAACGTTTCTCTGAACTTTTTCTAAATGCGGTGAGACTGCAGTTTGTGGATGACTCAAGCAGATTTACGATAAGAAGTCTTGGATTTCGGAGCAAAATTCACTCACCCATTTGGCCAAATAGCGTATTGACATTGTAGCTGATGTCAGTTCATGATTAAAAACCACTAATCTAATTTCAAACCTTAGGCATTAACTGTAAACAATAATCCTGATCCTTCAAACTGCTTTACAACCCTCATTTAGCCTTATTAACTAGGTAGACACTCTCAATGTCAATCTGGCGTCACTGTAAGATCGACCGCAAATTATAGTCTCACCAAACCGACTTCTATTGTGATGCGAAGCATGTTTGCAGTTACTTCTGTGTTCGACCTCAGAGCTTTAGATGCTGCTGCCTTTCCACTCTTGGTATGTTTGTCGTACGTCCCTGTTTCCTCGACTGTTAGTGGGGTGACATCTATAGGAAGGTCTGTGTGTGCTTCTTTGATGTCCGGTGGATTCAATGGAGCTGATTTATTCGAGTTCCTCAAACTGTTCTACACATCTGTTTCTCTGTTCTTTAATCTCAGTGATCAAATTTCGCTCGTGTCCTTGACTGGTCTCTGGTTTATTATATTTTCTATCAGTTTCTTCGTTGTCTCACATAGTTGTTTCGTACTTCCTCCTCTTCCAGCCTTTTCCCCTGTCGTTGCTAGGTCTTACATATATTTCTGCTTATCGGCTCTAATGCTCCTGTTCACTTGCATGTTTGCTTCAGCGTATTCAGCTTTCATCTTAGCAACCACCGGGTGGTGATCTGAAATTATGTTAGCTCCTCTCCTGGTTGCCACGCCTCCCATGGATCTTCCAAATTTCTAACTGGTACGAATATGATAGGTCTGGTTCTCTGTAGTGTGGTCCTGTGAGGCACGTAGCTTTGTGTATGCGCTTGTGGGAGAATATTGTGACACCTATAACTATTGTGGTGGATAATGTAACGTCATGTGTCATATGAAACTCACACAATTTATTCCAGGTTCCGGATAAGCCAATCTATTCATTCTGCTTAAACCTCATTTTGACCTTGTCACTTATTGGGTTGTTTATTCTGACTGTATTTAGATGAGTGTATATGTGTGCAGATACTATCATACTCACCACATGTTTGTAGCTTATTTGTATCTGGCTATAAATATCGGTTACGCTTGATTAAATCGATTTGGCTCACCTGCCCTCTCTAATCTGCTTCGCTCTTCCCTTTTTGTTCCATCTCCCTGATTACCTATTCACATCAATGAGTGCATGAAATATGCGTATTCAAAATTCATTCTCGTATTTGGCTTTTTTAATCCAATTATTCACTGACGCGAGTTAGGTTAATAATTATATACAAGAATAGATGATATATATTTTAAGAAGAATCACCGTACGATCAAACTGGGGTCAGATATAAGGCCGTAAAACCATTTTGTTGAGTGCACATAAATGTGCAGATCTGTCACCATTCTCGTTTCTTTCTCCCAGGTGAGTCCGTGTTGGCTACGCCACATTTATTCATTGTATTTCAAGCACATGTGTTTATTTGCAGACATAGCGGGCCATATCAGAGAACGAAATAATAATTAAGGATATCATGTTCAACAGAGATACTTTAATGAAAAGTATGAAAATAAGACTTTCTACATCTCTGAAAAAAACATTCTGTGGAGTTGAACTTCACACTATCCTTTCTAGTAAGTCTGTAATTCTTAGCTATGTGAGGGATGAACTCACGCTTTGGGCTGAATTTATTTGTGTCTTTCAGTTTACTCGCTTATGTAGGGGAGGTTATATTGGTCGCACAAAGTGAACTCCTTCGGGACGCAACATCAGGCTTTCTAAAGAATCCCAGAATCAAATTGTGGACCCAGTTTCAGAACATCTAGTTGATTGTGATCAGTCCCTATCACTAGAAGACTCCTTCAAAATCGTACATACGGTTAGAAGAGACGTCTCAAAACGAATGCAGATGAAAATGTATGTACAGCATACGCAATTGCTACCCACCAGTTTAAGCGTTATCCTTGCAAATATAGACGATATATTTAGTTTCTCATTCTTCCACGGTGTCAACCATTCTTTCTGTCTCTCAAAATCTTTTTTTTTCTGGTTGTTATATCGAACCCTTTCTAATTATTCTCAAAACTATTAATTAGCCATAATTCCAAATTTTAATCATTTTTGTTTTTAATAGCTATGAGATTGACGATTACCTTAATCTGAACACCTGTAGTGGCATTGGACAATAGCCACAGAATCCACAAAGCTGTGAACTAGACTACTCAGAAAATACCTAACGATGGAGAAGGCTCGAACAATGAGTTGAATGGACTGGAGTTGATCGGATGGCATGGCTCGGCCATGCAGGCGTGGTTCATCTGAATGTTACCTTATATCTTCTATTCATGTTAAATATATTGTTCCTTCTCTAGCCTAACCTTGTTCTTCATCATGTATTGGTAATTGATACGACACAGTGAGTTGGCGTAGTCGATGGTGTGACTTCCACGTAAGATCTCATTGATTAGGAAGTTATATCATGACAAATCTACAATTTTAGGATTAGGTCTATTATTAGAGCAGTACTAATATCATAGTAGACCATAATTCTAAACACCTTTCATTAGTGAAAATTCTCATTTTGCCATTTGGTAAATAAGGAAGAAATTTCTTTTCAATTGAAAAGAATGAATTCATATTATTCTGTATCCATGTTTCAACAGTCCCTGCATCAGTAGGCCTCAGCATACACCAGGGAAAAGCAAGGTCCTCAAATTCAAAGCAGAGAACGGCAAACCAATCACTCTTGATGGTGAAACTCTGGAAGATGTAGTATCTATCACATATCTGGGAAGCATCATCGATGAACAATGAGGTTCACATGCAGACGTAAAGGTGAGGATTGGCAAAGCAAGGACAGCATTCTTACAGTTGAAGAACATATAGAACTCAAATCAACTTTCAACCAATATCAAAGTGAGAATCTTCAATACGAACGTCAAGCAGTTCTACTGTATGGAGCTGAAACTTGCAGAACTACAGCAACTATCATCAAGAAGGTGCAAGTATTTATAAATAGCTCTCTACGCAAGATACTCAATATCCATTGGTCGGATACCATCAGCAACAGCCTTTTGTGGGAGAGAACAAACCAGCTTCAAGCTGAGGAGGAAATTAGGAAAAGACGATAGAAATGGATACTACACACCAAACTGCATCACGAGACAAGCCCCAACTTAGAATCCTGAAGGGAAGCGGAAAAGCGGAAGGCCAAAGAACACATTACATCGGGAAATAAAAGCAGATATGAAAAGGATGAATAACAACTGGGATGAGCTGGAAAAGATTACTCAGGACAGAGTTGGACGGAGAGTGTTATTAGGCGGCTTATGATCCTCCTCGAGGAGTAACAGGCATAATTAAGTAAGTAAGTGTATCCATTTTTGTTCAGGTCTTATTTAAAACCATTCCGTTATACTGTAGACTATTATTTTAGCAAACGGGATAAATTACAAATGCAACTGTACAGCTAAAGTAAATGAAATTGTCGAACTTCCTTCTCTAGACTGTTTTCTATCTTCTTTAATGATACTGTGGTGGACCAAGAATATATCAATTCCAAAAGTAATGATAAAGGTATTACGTCCAAAAATCAATATATTGATATATTAAATGTAGTCTATACATACAAGAAAAATATACAGGACGTTGGATATGTCTACTCAGATAAAGTATATAATGAGAATATCCTATGATCTATAAACGTAGACAGCAAATATACTAGAGTTCTGTTATCACAACAGCATGTAATTGAGAACAAGAGGCATATATGTGCAATTGTATATACACTACATACAATAAAATAGATATTTTTCGTCATTAATTCTTTAATCAAATGAATTGATAAATGACAATTAATACTAAATACTATTTGGTCACTGAACGTGAGTATATTCTTGAAATGATAATTACTTCATTCCTATCTATATCATTTGCATGAATACATTAATTATAATGGAAAAAGTAAATCACACACTTACTGCTTTGTTCTTTATTAAGGAAAACTCAATCATTAATTCCTCCAAGCTTTTATTAAATCTGATTTTCAACTATGAATATATATATATTCCCTTAACTTAAGCTACTGACCTTATCAATAATAATGGAAATCCAATGACTTGTGACCGATGAGATTTGATGGCAGATAAGTAAATGAACAAATGTAAAAATACTCGCATATTGTATGAGTGTGTGTGTGTGTACGTTCACCTACTTCAAGAGTTCAAATAACTGGCCAGAAAATTAGATCATAGTTTTATTATTAATTTATGCATATTTCATCAATACAAAACTTGGAGTAAATTCATATGATCTAAAACTTTAATGATTTTATAAACTAACATGCGTTCATATCTACACATTGATTAATGTGACTTTGAATATCACACATGAAATATGAGTTTCCTCATTTTCAATATAAGCTATACTGACGAATTGCAGCTAACAGGGAACACTCAATCGAGCTGTAATATTTTGGAGAAGTACAAATTCTTGCGTCGTATTGAGGTTAGTTTGATCGAACGGTTTATTATGAGAACAGTTGAACTATCAAGCTCGATTATTGACATCTTCGTTCAAATTGACTAGTCAACTGGTTATTCAGTGCTCAGAAGAATTATTTGTGCAAATGGACGTGAGTATTTTATATATTTGTAGCTAGATGACAGAATATTCTAAATTTAGTCTATTTGTGTTGGCTTGTGTTTGACAGCACAAAAAGTTGAAGCGAATCGATAATATTTCTTCCCCAACAATTATCTTACTGATGAGTGTCAGCTAACTTATAAATGTAATCACAGGATTCT